TCGGGATTTAAATGATTGATTATATATATCTATGGTAACCTATGTTCACCAAGCTCTAATGATTGCGTTCAAAATCAAAGATGGAGAGAGGGTGCGTCAAAAACAGCCTTTATATCTGCGTGTCAATACATTGAAAAGTTTTCAGAGCTCTGATATATAATGTAATATATATTTAAGGCATTTTAAATGTGTGTTTATGGATTTAACAATGTTTTCTTGCCACATCCGAAAGACTCTTGCGAAACGTGACTTACGGAGGAAAACGGGGGCTTGAATTTTTGCTATAAATTCGAAACGAATTATTTTTAAAAATCCAACAAATATCAAAATTACTTTAAATACCATTACATAGCAAAAGTATTTTTTCTAAATTAAACGATAGATTAAAAAAAAAATTAAATGAAAAATACTCATTTCTCAATACCGAAATGAAGCTTAGTTGTTCAGTTTAAATTCTTTTTAAAAAAAGCCGATGTGCAAAAATACTTATTTCTTAGCGGTGTAAACAACCCAAGGGGGTAAATTTGGAACTTCCTGTTCAAATACGACTCTAGCGGTTATGTCAAAAATGAACATACGAATTATATATATAGTCATATACAAAATATATACAAAACTAGCGAAAATTAAGCAACAGAAAATGTTTAGTGGAAGGTGTCTTGTACGTCGTTGAGTCATTTGATCAATTGTTAATACTTTCAATATTTTTTTTTAAATATACACATGTATATATTAACTTTTTTAATGTTATGTAAATCGTGAATATTATTTACTTGTACATGTTTACGTTGACCTTGTATTATGGAGAGGGCTTATATAGGAAGTGCCTGCTGTCCAATCCTATGATGTTTATGCATGTTTACATTCCATTGTAAATAAAGAGACTACACACATGTGAACTATGTTAAAACACAGTGAGTAATGTGATGCTTTGTAAATATCTTTATACCTCATCACGTACATCAGTTCTTGAGTCATTTGCTTATCTTCAAATGGCATAAGATACATATCCACTCATGGAAGAAGTTTTCTAAAATTGTTGTGATTAAAACATACGTTTATACCTCAAAGAACACAGGTAAATCATTTTTTTTTTAATCCTATTTGAAATGTAATAAGAATCTTTTCATAAATGGCTCAAGAACTGGTGGTGTTTCGTTGCATTATGGGGCATATTTGTAGTCCCAAATTACAATTTGAATTCAACAACTTACCTTTGATGTTTGGAGGGATTACAGAACTCAATTGTTTTTTATCTGAAAATATAAAAATTAAGTATGATTTTTTAGGGGGCAAAAAATATTGATGAAAAAGAATGGGTTTTTTTTCATCTGAGGCAAGCCTTCATAATAACGAAGTTTGAATTCTTTATATCATTGAAATCCTTTTTTTCAAACTCCGAAATAAGATTAACAGAGAGGAGATACAAACTCTTGATATTAATTAAATACCTTTGACGATTGGAGGGATTACAGACTTCAATTGTTTTATTTCATCTGGAAATATAAAAAGAAAGTAAGGTCTTTTAGGTGCACAGAAACTAATGAAAATATATTTTTATTTGTGGCAAACCTAAATTTGAGCAAAGTTAGAATTCATTATATCCTTGAAATCTTTTTTTTTTAATTCCAAAAAAAAAAAGATGAACAGCGAGAAAAAACACACACTTGATATTAATTTGTATTCACGATTTCCAAAGTTTGACACGTCTAAATGTGACATTGATCATTTGTCGCAGATGTTGAACTGCAACAAGCATAGTACGTTGAAGATTTTTGCCTCTATAAAGAACCATATGAAATATCGTAGAATGCATTCAAATTGCCTGTTCATGTCATTGTTTGAACAGGTTTAAAGTTTTATTTAATCTCAGGAAATATCAACAAGATTAGTGGATTAGGCACAGGGAACAGACTTTGGGAAGCAAAGTCGTTTTTGGTTGTCCAGAATTAATTTAACATATAATATTTTGGATAACATAACGTGCCTACGTCACAATGAGTTACGTCAAAAAAGTATTACTCCGCTTGACGTTACTTTTCAAATAATGTTCAATTTGAAACCTTATTCTGGAGGAAAATTTGTCTCATTGTCTATATTGAAATTAAATTATAAGGAATTAAGCTAATTTCAACTTATGTTATACGATATAACAAAACTTCCTCGGGGTTTATAAAGCGTAAACTGCCCCAAGTTATGTTATATCGTATAAAATGAGTTGAAATTAGCTTCATTCCTTAAATAAACGGTAACATAACAAGACAGTCATATAATTACTTTTTGCAAAAACCCAACGGATCAACCTAACACTTTAAAATTCTAATTGTTCTTGAATCATATTCTTTGAACTTTTGCAAGCACAGACTACATTAGCATTGATTTCATCGCATCATTTCATGAAGTTGATAATTTCTCGTAAGTATCACAAAACAGCCATCAACTGCTTTTACACCCAAGTTTCAACGTAGAACTGAAAGTTATTTTTTAAAACATATTACTTTGGCACAAGTTTGCAGTCAATAAGTTTTAGACTGGAAATATACTCTGTTCAAGTTCACAGGAAAAATTTGAAAGTCAGTAAGAGCAAATGCCGAGTAAAACAAATCTATATGAAAAATATGAAGATAAGGCCAAAATAAAAAATACCTTTGTTTCCCCTAACGCGACCGACCCAATTAAATCGCACCGACTGAAAAGATTTTTTGAATAAGATGATTCAAATATTTTTTTTATTGTTACCCAAGTTTTATAAAATACAATTTCATCAAAATCAGTTTTTATCACAACGGCCGACATTGTTCTGCTGTGATTTTCAAGCATTTGTTGGAAATAAAATGACGTACAGATGTGATTACAGGACATCAGTTCTGCATAAAGCACTGGCGAGGTCTTAATCTTTATGCTTTTAGCTAATTGGAATTCTTCACTTTTGAAACAATTCGACAATAAAATTTATCATGACTAATTAAGAGTGTTTCGGAGGTGTCTTGTCGTCTCCATGTGACTGAATAAATTTTTGAAGGGACATTAAACAACAAACAAACAAATCTGTCTTTGAATTTAAGGTACGTAATGCATGGTAAGGCCCGCCTCATGAGCAGATGAGGGGCCCACCTAATGAAAACATCATTCAATTTCACTGCATTTTATTTACTTTGAGTTCTAATCTAATAACCAGTCCATCTATATTCCTATGTTAAACTTTATACCATTATGGAATTATTGGATTCGTTATGAATATGCCTGCATATTCATCCTGATATATATATAATTCAGATGTCCTGCCTTTATGTAGTGGTTAAACTTCGTTAATATGGTATTTTTATCATTTGTTGATTCGGTTTGGTTCAATAAAATATTGTTATTAACAAACTTATTCTTTCCAAATAGTTTTGAAATTAGGATTCAGCTTCCTAAGACGTCCAGCGTATTTTTCTTTAATTAGGCCCTTGAAGATTGGTTGTTTCTTTACTTTTAATCCCTTCGAGATTTGTTAGGACGACATTTAAACATATCCCCATATTTCCAAATTTAGACGTACTCAGCACTTTTTTGCCATTAAGAAGTGGGGGATTTTTTTTGAGCCAGCACCTTCTGCGATACTGGACATAAGTTTTTATGGCCCTTTTTGAAGGACCGTTTTCAACTTTACTCATTGGGATTTGAACCTGGGACTTAAAATTAGCCACTTCTTAACTCCAAAGCAAAATGCTCCAGAACCTCTGCAAATCTCATTGCCCTTGGAAAAGTACATTAGTCGTCTATACATGTAAGCTTTGAAAGCTAATGGAAGGTTTGAAAAATATACTCGTATATCCTGTCTTTCCGTATTTGAGAATATTGTCTGTTTTATTCAATTTATATAAATTTAATGGCGTGAGGTTTTTCACAAGTTCAACTAAATAACAGATGTGGATTAATTAATCATAAATTTTGCTTTTAAACGGAATATGTATGATACTTAACATTTTGATCACAAATCGCTTTCTTTAGTACTTATTTATAAAGATAATTTTCCATTAAATTTTTGAATGTATTTTTAAAGCTGCTGTTAGAAAATAAAATTGTTTACCTACCTACCGACCCAACTTGAAAATTTAGAGTCGGGTTAGGGAAAACAAAGATATTTTTAATTCCGGCCTAACAAGGAGCATTCAAGATAAAACTCCAAAAAACAATACAAATTCGGAGCAGAGCTAACATGGACCACCAAAACATCAGAGATGAGATCAGGCGCCATGGAGGATTTGCGACACCTTATTTTCGCGAGATAGTCATTGACTCTTGATTATGGAGACAAAATTTTCACGAATTCTGGTTATTGCTCTATATAATCTTCAGGAATACTATTATGCGCGAGAATTTGATTTTCGCGAGCAAACTGTCTAGCGTTATAAAAAGTGATTTACATTAAGTCAATTTAATCAAACTGTAATTATGTTACAAATATTGATTTCTCCTTTTCATTTTTATATTTACTTTCTATCTCTCACTTTCTTTAAATGTTATGGTATTTTATGTATCATTATCATTATTCAAAATATTTTCTCCTAATGAATCTTTAAAAAGAATAACACTTTGCAAATGGGTATATCAAAATACAACTCCTGCATATATGAAGAATGATGTATTTTGTACGAGCAATAGTGTAAAACAATATAATATTCTGTTTAAAAAAACAAATCTTCATTATGTTTTCTATTATAAATTATGTATGGCAGTAAGTATTATTTTTATTTATAAAATTTATTTTAGATTTTATGTTTTGGTAATAAATCATTGAGCTTTCTATTCACTCTATCAATAATTATCTATATCCTGATTAGATTTATTTCTGGACAATAAGAAAATAAGTAAAGCTTCAATTTTTTTTTTCTTCCATTTTTGAATCTTATACTATTGTTGCTGATGAAAATTGATATTCCGAATTTAATAAAAAAAAAAGGGGGGGGGGATAGTGGAATAAAGTGCAAAAGGATATTTCACTTTAAATATCAATCTTAATAAGCATATTTACGTTTCAAGCCTTGGGTTATTTCCCAAGTTTTTACGTCTTCTTCAGATTGTTTTCTCAGTTCTTCTTTATAATCTCGGACAGGATCTATTGTCTCATATCTCAGAAAGTCCACCTCTTTTTCAAACTTTTTTCCGTTGCTAAGGAAAGTATCAAGGTCCACCACTGCTGACCTGGCAATAGCCCAGACTGTGTAGAAATCAGCATTAGATAGGGCGGGAGTAGAAGAATGAACACATTGATTTCTGGCAATACGGATCCTCTCAATGTTGGCAGAGAGAGATCGGTCTGTAGGGTCTGGATCATTTCCCCAGCCATTGCTGTGTGGTGGTATACTGCAAATGTTTCTAAGTAGTATGTACAATAATGGAATGTCCATGTCATCATAGTTTCCAGTGTAACTGCTGCCACTAGGTAAAATAAGATTCATCTGTGGTGCCGACAGACGAGGGAGATTGGTTATCTCTCGTGCAATGTGTTGTGGGGGAACGTGATGACGTAAAACATCCCTAAGTTGATCAGTACACGGACCAAGGAGAAGTCGACACGCTCTACAGGCATTTATCGTCTCCTCTTTAGACATGTAAGTAGAGTCTACCAAAGCATGCTTTTGATGCGTCTCTGAAATGTAAAAAAAAAGAGCATTATCTTTATGAAAAATCCTTCAGTCAGGGCAACCATAGAATGGCCTTTGTTTAGAATACATGTACCGAATAACTCTTGCTTCTAACAAAACAATATAAGTGTTCTGCCTTTTGTACAAGCTTTGGGTAATTATTGTTTGAAGGTTAATTACACTCCTGGTAAAGAAAAGTCTTTGTTCTAATTTATTTTTAAGGAGAGATGCCAAACCAACTTTTTATTTTATGATTCTTTGAGTCAAACTTTTTAAAAAATGATTTCATCATTGAAAGGTCTACATTAGCTTTTAATTATTTTATCTAAATTTTTTGGTATTTTTTTGAAAGAAAGTGAAAAAAAAGTTATTTACGTCCAAATTAGATCCTCTCTTGTAAAAAAAATTGCTGTTGACAAATGCATCACATGAATACCTAATAGAATATGTAAAGAAAAGCCGTATTGATAGTAAAAAAAAATTAAAAAATATTTATGAAAATAAAAAACACAATTTGTGAATATTTTTTACACTTGTTGTTAAAATGTTCTTAAACCAGTCACAACTGGGGAGAACGTGTTCATCATATTCATCAAAGAAATTGAAACGAAATAGCCATAAACACTAGCCCGATTAGGTGTAATAAGGGTTCAAACATTATTGAACTTGAAAATGAAATGAATCTTTTATTGTAAATACATATGTACATGAAGAGACAAGAATTACTTGTAGCATTTTATTCATTTTGTGTTAATTTTGATGGGGATATGTTTAATTTTGATCGGGATAGGTCCAAATGTTAAAGAAATTAATTTCTGTAAGATTTCTCAATTTGTTTCAATTTGTTCTTTAGATATGATTGACAAACATGTTGTCCACAGTTGTGACTAGTTTGGTGGTGTTTTTGACCTTAGATTTAAAAAAAATCATAAATAATGTGCTTTGTTTTCATAATTTATTTTTTTATAAAAAAAAATTAAAGAAAATATAAAACAGAAAAAAAAATAAAAAGTCGACAGTGTGTAAATAGCCTTTCTTTACATATTTTATTGGATATTCATATGATGCATTCATTTACAGCAAATTTTTAACTCAAAACAAAATAAAATACAAAAAAATCATGTAAAATAATAAAGAGCTAATATCAGTCTTTTAATGCCAAAACCATTGTTAAAAAAAGATCTATAAGAAAGTTGGTGTTGCATTCCATCTTAACAATATCTACAATGTAAGGATATAGAAGTTGTGCCCAAAAGAACCCTCCATTTTTTGCTTTCATGCCAAAACCATTGTTAAAAAAAAGATCTATAAGAAAGTTGGTGTTGCATTCCATCTTAACAATATCTACAATGTAAGGATATAGAAGTTGTGCCCAAAAGAACCCTCCATTTTTTGCTTGCGTAACCTTATGCAGAAAATGATCCATATGTTCATGCTCAACTGACCTTCTTATATTTCTCTAAGCCGTTTTGTTTAGGAAGGTGTGAATTTTCAAACAGTAAGACATTTTATAAGCTCATCTGAGCCGAAGGCTCAAGTGAGCTTTTCTGATCAAAATTGTCCGTTGTCTGTTGTTGATGTCGTAGTCGTTGTTGTAAACTTTTCACATTTTCATCTTCTTTTCAAAATCCACTGGGCCAATTTCAACCAAACTTGGTACAAAGTATATTTGGGTGAAAGGGATTCAAGTTTGTTCAAATAAAGGGCCATGCCCTTTTCCAAGGGGGGATAATTTTGAATTAGAGAAAAATTAATGGTGTTTAAAAAAAAAACTTCTTCTAAAGAACTACTGGGCCAGGAAAGATGAAACTCATGTGGAATCATTCTCAGGTAGTGTAGATTCAATTTTGTTCAGATCCTGACCCCCGGGTGTAGGATGGGGCCAAAATGGCCGATCAAATTTTTACATAGGAATATATAGGAAAAGTCTTTAAAAATCTTCTCATTAAGAACCACTGGGCCAAGAAAGATAAAACTCATGTGCTATCATTCTCAGGTAGTGTAGATTCAAATTTGCTCAAATAATAAACCCCGGGGTTAGGCTTTGGCCAAAATGGCCGATCAAAGTTTTACATTATCATATATAGAAAAAAAACCTTTAAAAATCTTCTTCTCAGGAACCATTAAAACAGGAAAGATGAAACTCATGTGGAATCATCCTCAGGTAGTGTAGATTCAAGTTTGTTCAGATCATGACCCCCCGGGGTAGGGTGGGGCCAAAATGGCCGATCAAATTTTAACATAGGAATATATAGGAAAAGTCTTTCAAAATATTCTTCTCAAGAACCACTGGGACAGGAAAGATGAAACTCATATGGAATCATCTTCAGGTAGTATATATTTAATTTTTTTAAATCATGACCCCTGGGGGAAGGTAGGGGCCAAAATGGCCAATTAAAGTTTTACATTGGAATATATAAGAAAAATCTTTAAAAATCTTCTCAAGAACCACTGGGCCAGGAAATACGAAACTCATGTGGAATCATGCTCAGGTAGTGTAGATTCATGTTTCTTTAAATCATGACCCCCGGGGGTAGGGTGGGGCCAAAATGGCCGATCAAAATTTTGCATAGGAATGTATATGAAAAGTCTTTAAAATTCTTCTTCTCAAGAACCATTAGGACAGGAAAGTTAAAACTAATGTGGAATAATCTCACGTAGTGTAGATTCAAGTTTGTTCAAATCATGACCCAGACCCCCGGGGGAAGTTAGAGGCCAAAATGGTCGATCAAAGTTTTTCATAAGAATATATAGGGAAATCTTTTTGAAATTTTCTTCTCAAGTACTTCAAAGGCATAATAAGTGATATTTATATGAAATCATCCTCAGGTAGTGTAGATTCTAGTTTGTTCAAATCATGACCCCCGGGGGTAGGGTGGGGCCAAAATTGCCGATCAAAGTTTAAAAATCTTCTTCTCAAGAACCACTGGGCCATAAAAGAAGGATATGAAAATAACGAGCAGTATTCAATCTCAACGTCCATTAAACAAATATACAAAATAAGAGCAGAGCAAACACGGACCTCTGAAACATCAGAGGTGGGATCAGGTACCATGGAGGAGTGAGCATCCTCTGCCGACCGGTTACACCCGCCGTGTGCTCGTTGTCATAATCGGAAAAAATCCGTGGTCAATTCAGTGTATAAATAATGAAAATGAAACTAATGTGGAATCATTTCAGGTAATGTAGATTCAAGTTTGTTCAAATCATGACCCCCTTGGGAGTTAAGATTTAAGCCCCCTCAAAAGTCAGTAAACTTTCATTTTTTATCTGAGAATAATTTGCTTTTTCCTAGCCTGTGTGCTCAGGTGAGCGCTGTGGACCCTGGGCCTCTTGTTGAATTCTGCGACCTTTTCTTTATGATATACATCAAGTTCACATTTTTTCCTAGGAAGTTAAACCAATCTTAAGGCAAGTATGACATTGAAATGTTCTTGCAAGATAATTAAAAACAAGGAAACATAATTACATTAAACTTTCTACACTGTAACTTTGTTAAAATTCAATTCTGGTCAAAACAAGATTTTTACTGGGACTTATAACGTTTTTCCCTACGTCACAGTTATTGTGAAAGAAAGAAAGATGTGCGAACGAACAATAGCATTGTTCTCAAGACTACCTCCAAGTCAATTTTCGAAAGTTAACATATTTAATCTATTTGTAATATATATATATATATATATATATATATATATATATATATATATATATATATATATATATATATATATATATATATATAGGTAAAATTAAAATAAAAAAGACAACACAGCTTAAAACGTTAGCGCTTTCTTTACATCTTCAGACGTTTTACAGATGCATTCTTTATCCGGACTGCAATGTCTTACAAAACTATTAATACTTAGTATTAATACTAAAAATCATTATCTATAATTGAATCTGACAGCAAGCAAATAAATGCTTGCAGTTTGTTCACACCTTTGAAACCAAATCCGACACGTGTTTATACTCTTAGCCGGAGAACATCAAAAGGTTACACTCTGTGTGAAAGTTTTATCAGAAATCAAATTAAATCAAACTATTAAGACTGGGATTAAATTTTTGAATGAAATATTTCTCTTTTTCTCTTCTTTCTGTTATATTGTCTTGAAAAAGTTTATAAAAAGGGAACACTTTAAATTGTCCTTGTCCTCATCTATCAATGTGTTCGCTGAGATTGATCTTACGGTACTCAGGAACTTGAATATGCTGTTTATGCACGTGAATTCTGGCTCTCAATGTGGTCCCCGTTTCACCGATGTAGAATTGGTTGCATCCTCCGCAAGTAATAACATATATTAAATTTTGGACTCACATGTCATGTCTGAATTAATAAAGAATTCTTTTCCTTTGAAATTAAATGATGTTCCTTCTCTTAAAACAGAACATGTGCCACATCGCGGATCTTTACACTTTGTCACGGATTTTGTAGATTTCGTTATTTTGGAAGGACAGAGGATTCTTCTGAGGTTTTTGGCATTTCATTTGCCATTTGACATTTCTTCATCCGTTTTGAGAATTTCGTTCATATTTTGAACGATAGGTGTAATATTTGGGTTTTTAGGATTGTAAGTTGTGACTAGTGGTAATATTTTAATATTTTCCTAATCATTAGCACTTGGATTAATTAATTCTTCTCTGTCTAGTTCCTTTGCTTTTCTGATGCCGTCGTTAATTAAGCTTAAAGGATAATGTTGGTTTGTGAGAAATATTTTCAATTCATCCAGACGTTGATTTCTGGTTTCCTCCTCACTTACTATTGTGCATATTCGCCGGGCTAGGTTGTAAGGTATTGCTCTTTAATGTGTCGCAGGTGGGAAGATCCAAAATGTAAATATTGATGAGTGTCAGTACTCTTATACAATATATCTGTTGCAATTTTGTTGTTTTCCTTACAGATTAATACATCTAAAAATGGTAATTGAGTAGAACTGTATTAATCTGTAAGGAAAACAACAAACTGGATTTTTCTTAAATTATATATATATATATATATATATATATATATATATATATATATATATATATATATATATATATATATATATATATATATATATATATATATAACGTACTAAAAATGACCAACGACACGAACAATAAAAATTGTCAAATTTCCGGGACAAAGAAAAAAGAGAAACAAAAACAACTTTAAACATCCCCCCCCGTGATCGACAAAATCCTTATTACGGTTAGTATCGACTGTCATTTCACAAATTCATACCAAAGCTTTTTTTGTTTCATATGCTTACAGACAAGAAGACGAAACTGTTTTTTTTTTCAGCCATTTCGATGTGCTTTACAACAGATTGATTGATAGATTGTATATTGTTTAACGTCCCTCTCCAGAATATTTCACTGATATGAAGACGTCACCTTTGCCGGTGAAGGGCTGCAAATTTAGGCCCATGCTCGGCACTTGCGGCCTTTGAGCAGGGAGGGATCCTTTTTGTGCCACACCTGCTGTGACACGGGGCCTCGGTTCATACGGTCTCATCATTATTGTTTAAGATTTTTTTTACGATTTATCCTATTGCACACATAATGAAAAAGTGTAAAAAAATAAAATTTATGAAAAAATTGCCCGGAGTTGAATATCAGGGGGAGGGGGGGGGGATCGTTGTTTTGAACATATTTTATTGACAATATGTCAAAGGGATCGGACACAAGTATTGTTATTCCTGTCCAAAAATACCTTTGGTTTCTATAGGGAGCAAATGCACGTTTGTTGGTTTAAATAAGGCGTTACAGTTTTTACTAAACAATAAATAATGTAATAAACTATGACGAATTAGTTAGGTGTAAAACATAAACTGTACCAACTTTGATATACCAGATGCTTATTTTAACAAATTACGTCTATTCAGTTATGCTCATGCTAAAGTTTAAAAAATCCAAAATGTCTAACAAAAAATACTGTGAGGAACTGTAAAAGGGTGCTAAAGACTAAAGAAATATTGGTCGAATGATAACCGTATCTTGATACGATATGATATCTTTCAGTTCTTCTTTCATGTTTTCTTTCTTTTCAAAGTGATTTAAAAATGAATATTACAAAAATGTCTTCATATGCAAACAGGCCTTTACAAAGTAGATTTGATAGCATTTGCAGACTGTTTAGGCACTTACCCCGTGCAATGTTAATAGTGTTGTTTCCAACTTTAATCCAGTCCACATTGTACGTCAATAATCTAGTAAGTCCGAAAGAACCCTTTTGTTCAAGTATTCGAGCAAACTTTGCTTTCATTGAGAGTACGATTATGAAACTCCTGTTTGGACGCACACTAACCAATTCTATACAACTTTTGTCGCAGCCAACTATAGCTGCTACTGTATCTACTATGTTGTCCATTTCCATGTCAGTGAAATTTTTAAAGTCTTTTTCCACGTGCAGCTGAACGTGTTTAAATCCTGTTTCTGTCAAAAATAGGATAAAAAGTATATAAAACTTGTTTAGTTATATAAATATCCTTTAAGAAAAAAATGCCAATTTAAAAGCATAGAAATAAAGACAACGTTTTGATAATTACACACAAAAAAGCATTCATTTTTTTCGTCTGTTTTTCTTCTTGGGAAGAATTGTACAGATTATTGTATAATATAATTAATACGCCTTTGAAAAAAGATAAAACCTGCGATGTCCATGTTGTAATTAGTTAAACACAAGAAACTGATTAATTATGCATAAAAAGAAGGAGTTTTAAAAGTACAAACCAAGGAAAACAACAGGTAAATTATCACTAAACAAGAAATATGCAATATCATTGCGAAGGCAGTGAGGTCTGTCAATGGCAACATGTATGTTATGTGGGAAATTCAAGTTAAAGTCTACAACCTTGTTGAAATTAAAAAAAATAATAAAAAACAATAACTTACGTGCCCTTTTTACTGAACTTAGTGTAGATTTTTACACCTGTCTATTTGTTTTTAAAATACACTCAATAAAATTAAAGCTTTATTCGAGATGTAATGTCCAAACGTTCCTTTGTGTTTTGAGTCTTGGGTAATAAGAATAGATAACTCTTGCATGTAAACTTTTTATACCAAATATTTTAGAATTTCGATAATTATTTCCTTAAAATATTCTTCGTTCAATTTGTCTCATGCTATTTATTGAAATTCATCCATTGTCTCTTTAGAACTTTAGAATGTTTAACTTATTCTTGTAAAAATTAAGAAGAAAATGACATGATTTTTTTTTAAAAAAAACTTTTAAATAAAAAAAATATTAATTATTATGAAATATTATTACGTTGTATAAATGACCCAAGAAGTTGTTCATTGCTTGACAGTGAAATTCCTACAATTCTAGTAATAGTAAACTTGAAATAAAATATTTTTCTGAAATCAGAAAAAAAATTTCAAAAGATAATATTTATATCAAAACCTCTATTTTGATGATTGACATCTACAATATAAGTGCATTTGTTGTTCCGTTCCGGAAATTTTTTAACGTATTAGGTTTTGTTTTATGTACAACTTATTATTACAGCATGTACAACTTGTAACGTTGGTGTTTTTACAGCCCCCACAGTGTATGTATATTTGTAATTTCATTTTCATCTTTATATAAGTGATAAATAGTGCATTTCTTTCTATATATACGATTAATTGAATTTTATGCATTTGAATGTTTTGTTTTCGCGTAATTTATAACTTTGTTTTTGTACTCCCTAGCCTATTTGCATGTGCTACATTGTATTTTTTCTTTTTGTCATTGTAGCATTCACGGTTTATTCCTAGAGAATAAAGTATGTATACTAGCTGTGTTCACGACTTTGGACAGCATAGCTGTAATGAACTCTAAAATAAACTATAGGTATGATGATCCTCCTTAAGATTATTGAAAATCTATAGCGTCTTTCAAACTGAACTAAATTGACTTTTACAGAAAGCTTTCTTTCTTCAATAAATATTATTTCAATGTGTTCCTATGCGCGTACTGTTCATAAATGTAAATGACCTTCGAATAGTAGGATTAGCATACTGCTCATTAAAAAAATCAGCTGCCTTTTAGACTTCCATTGTTTATTGAAAATCTCATTTCTGAGTCAGCTCCGCCCCATTAAGTTTATAAACCCCGCCCACTGGGACCGCTGGGACTGCTCTGGGACCGCTGTGGGACTGTTTTGGCAGTCCCAGAAAACAGTCCCCAGGACTGCCCTGGGACTGCTTTGTGTCAGGTTGGGTCTGGTAGGTACTGTACATCTGCCATTTTACTTGATAAAACCTCTATACGAGGACTGTTCGGAAATTATTGAGACAATTGCATTTACTCTATAAAGGACGGAGATAATTTCAGGATCATTTTGTAAAGAACAAATAAAACACTTACGCAAAATTTATAATTCCTATGGTAATAAGAAAAGTTTCCGTGAAATGATAAACATACATATGTCTATCGAGCCGGAGCAGCATAACTACGTCATATTAAAGTCACGTCAGCCAGGGATAGTTTCGCATGTAAAACGATCGGGAAGCGTTAAATCTTTTTCCTTCTTTGTTATTACATATCACAGTGCAAAAAACAAAACGTTACTTTTCTTAAACTTTTCCTCAAAATGTATGTTGTTGCTACCCGAGTGTAATATTTTTCATTTGTGGGAAAAGATGACTTAAAGTCATGCAGTACCGATTTATGCAACACGGGTCAACGATATTGATACCGTAACGATATTAATACCATTCGTAATAAATGATGGTCGTCCGGAGCTTTTGATTTATACTCTGGTTGAATGTATTTAAAAAAAATGTATACCAATGAAATAACAAACCCTAACACATTTTTTTCGTAGTTATTATTTTAGCAGGTCGTTGTGTCTCGAGTTTTACATTGTGCTACACAAAACTTTAGGTATGTTCGCTGCTCCGCCCTTGAAGTCAAAATCGATGTTTTCGGTCTTAGCAGATTTCTTTACCGCGATAATTTTTTTTGATCTCCTTAATCCTGATTAAAACTCTATCAAAATTGCACAACATGAATTTGAATCAAAGCTGAAAAATTATACACATAAACAGAATTATTTTCGCTTTTATTGTGGGTCCACGAAGTGTTAGAACGTTGGTGTTACATATTTTCAATATCTGATTTCGAGATTGCTCAGGATACCGATGACGCATTTATATACCATTGTACAGAAAATATTTAATATTTATATATTTGTAAAATGTTTTTTTACTTTTATTTATTTTTAATGTATATCAAATGTATATGCAAATTTTCACCGAAGGACGTTCATTTGAAAGCAAAATATACACAATGTCTCGATAATTTTCGAACAGGCCTCGTATTCTATAAACATAAGCTTGAATAAAAAAGAGAAATATATTAAAAAATAATTAAAACCCTATCTTATTTTTCAAATCACGATTTTTTAACTTTAATTCTAATATTAAGTGCAAAGTATACTTCCAAAAAACGGTGTGTCAAACTAGTCAATGATGTCGTCTGCAATTCAAAGCCAACAATATTTAATATCTGGTTATGGTCTATATTTAAATACTACATGTATTCCTCATTTAAGCAATGTAAACAGTTAACGTCCTCAACAAATTGACTTAATATTGTTTTCTCACCAGCCGGTTTTGATTCTTCAAAGTAACATTGTTTGTTATTCCTTGCGTATTCCACACATTTTAATTCCAGATCTGGGCGTTCAATGTTTCTCAATAGGTACTGCATCATAATTACGTCTTGTTCTTTAAATATTCCCTCGTCGTAAAGAGTTGTGAAGAAATCTTCAACAGTCGCTATATTTTCGACAGATACGTCCCTCGATGAAACCACTAGAAGTCGGAAAAAAAATCAAATAAACAGACAACAAGCCAAACATTTTCCTTCCAGTACACATACGAAGAAATGAAATTAAAAAAAATATTATCAATGCAACATAATTTGCGCACTAATCGTCGTGTTACTTTTGTGCATATTCTATTACAGTACTGGATTAGACAACAGTAAAATCAGATATACATGAATTTAAATTCAAAGAATTTTTAAACATATAGCATATTTGAAAAAATATGCGAGAAAATCCCATAAGACTGAAATACAGTGATGCAAAAAATTGACAACAAAACAGTTTAAGAAGAACAAATTTTTTAAGCTGTTTGTGATGTGAATTATAATGATGTATATTATAACGAAGACACATTTCTGACATAATTGTATGTTGTAAATTGTTTCACAATATCGTAAAATGTTACATGTATTTAGAACTGAATCTTCAATATAAGAAAAGATTAATTTTTTTGTAACTGGAGATGTTGACATGTTAATTTGATTCATTCAGTGAACTTTTTAAAATGAGAAAAGTGGTAACATTGTACTAAATTACGCTCATAAATCCCTTCAAACGTATTTTTTCTGATAATGATAAAGAGGACTGGCATTTTTATTCCAAATACAAAATTTTAAAACTGTAAGGTTCCATCTAACACAGTATGACAGTAAAAAAGGGTGTTATTATTTTTAAATAAAAGAACAGCAGACCTCTGGGTTTTGCTGCATAATAATTCACATATATTAGGTTCCGTATAATATATATAAGTTTAAGGTTATTTATTCTTTCAGTCTAATCAACCCATACCTAATCGTGCACAAACTCTATTGAGAAAGTTGATATTACACATGTCAAAAATACCTTGATACAATTATCGATATATAGTTTGTATTTTTTTCAAATAATGAGTAACCTGGGTTTGATGATGTATTAAAATGACTGTTTATGATTTTTTTTTTCTCAACCTTTCTGGTCACAAGGTTTCTTAGAGAAGGCAGGACAAATTTCATAACTCTTAAGATGATAGAAAATTAAAATACCAACAGTTTTGTCTAATGGCCGCCTACTAGTCAACACAAAAGTCAAGAGCCCTGGAAAAACAAATGATTCTACGAGGGGTGATCAAAAAGTTAGCGAACTTATAACTTCCATAAAAGAAACAATATATGGTTTAATGTTGATAACAATTTAAAATACTCCTCTCTGATTTTAATGCACATCAACCATCGTTTTGCGCATGCACGAATCTCGTGATATTGGCGGTCATGTGACCCCCTCCGAAGCGTTCTTTCAAAAAAGTTGAAAGATTTTTCTGAGTTTTATATATCTTTTCGTGTGAGTTAATTTTCATGACAAGAACAGTTCATTTGTCATAAATGGTCAAATCTCGGCAACCGAATGGTTGGATTATTAGTTATATAGTCTTTTAGTGACAGGGTATGGGATGATACTTGGCGAGGCGGAGCCGAGTCAGGTATGAAATTTACTAACCAGGTATCATCCCATACCCTGTCACTAAAAGACTATGTAACGAATTTACCCCACCGATGAAACATTAACGTTTTATCTGTGGTTTATAAATGGTTTTCTCTGCTAAATGCTTCATCACGCTTATACTGTGCCTATAATGACGTCACGTTATGTTTGTTAGGTAATACATAGACCGGGTATAGATTTGCAACTGACTGGGTATAAGTAATCCACCGCCTTCACGTGACAGACTTTAACCAATCGTAAGCCAGGATTTTACGGAAAAATCAACAGAGGTGGGGTAAAAGAATACCCTTTTCAAAAGTAAGCATGGCGACCATTAACACACAAATTTTTCTGTCTCGGGAGAGACCTTTCTTCAAGGCGGATAGAGAATGGGTGTTTTCTTTTTATCATGTCTAATATGTTTCAAATCTAAAGTAAAGGACATCTTGCGTATTTAATAATTATATTATTGTTCAATATTCAACTATTTCTCAAAGTGTACATGTAAATGGAAGGTTTTTGATAGCAAATTGCTTAATAAAAACACATCTCTTTTCAAACTTCCTTTCACTAGGCAAGATGACAAGTATCACTTTTAACCATTTGCCTTCCTTTACAAAAGCGATAAATCCAATCACTTAATTAAATTTTTAGAAGCTCATTTATCTTAATTAACTGTGTTCAAATTATTATATGATACTGCATTGGGATTTCTAAGATATACAATAAATTGTACAGTCGTTTGTTGAACGAGTTCGACTGCGACAACCATTTTTCGTCACAAGTGACCTACATTTTCACATTGTGACGTCACAAACAAGGAGTAAAACTTTATTCCGCACATGCTATGTATAGACTTGTGTATGGCTACGGGTGTATCGAATTTCATTCTAATATGAATTGTGGTTTCGTAGATATAAAGATAGTTCTCGAACATTTGATCACCTCGTACTTGTCTGAAGAGCTTCTAACTTCAACCTAACTCCCTCAACTTGTTGGTAAGTCAAAATGTTTGTGGTATATTTACCGAACGACGCCGGATTGAAGAAAATAACGTACACAGTCGTTTCTCACAGCAAATGCATAAAGACACTTCAAAATGGCAGATGATCAAAGCAACAGCGATAGTAATTGTGCTTTAGCTATCTATGAGGGTGTAATGTGATCAAAACATGGCGATGCTCATAAATAAGGTCAGATCACTGTGTATATAAGCATTATATTTTTTTTTTACACATAACTTAATTCATGACAACAAGTTTATTTTCAAGGATCTGATTGCAAGAGAAAAGAATTCTCGAACATTACATTACTTTTTGTGGCGCCTGCAGAGCATAGCAGCACTTGGGGATCACTTAATCAGGCATCTGTCCGTTTGTTCTTCCGTAACGCCTTATTTCTCTGTTACAGAACTGTAAGAGGTATGATATTTTGCATATATATAGTTTAGCAAAATGACTTTTGTGCTTGACCATGTTTTCCGACCTAGCTGTCCTTGAACTTGACCTCTGAGCTATTTTTTCAAAAAATGACAGTGCAAATATACAACTTCTTTTTCATTTTTAAGAGGTAAGTTTATGCTATGAAGAAAATGTAAAACATTTTGAAGAACACAACCCTTGCAGCACTTTTAACCTTGGCCTTTGACATACTACGCAAAATATACTACAGAGGGTTAAATCAAACTTTGTGTTTTAAATAAAGATAGACAGGGATTTGATAATTAGCATTTATGCATGTTTATAAGCTTATGACAATGTACTTTGACACTGTATGAAATACAATTACATGTACCATAAAAAATTTAAATACTATGAAAATATATCGGGATCGGTATTTTAAATTGGATGGTGTAGCCTGACAATTGTGATAAAGATAACTGCTAATAGTCTCTTATAAAGGATTGTTGAGATCAAGTACTTATTAATAAATTGATGAATAATATGATCACTTGCGACCGTTAGGGCGGGCGCAGTTACTTATTCAGTTGGAATTTAGATTGGGCACGATCGTTTAAATACACGTGACATTTGATGCGTCTATACACTAGGGTCACGGTACATCGTAATTAAGTTACATGTACATTACAAAACCGAAGCCTGAAATTGTTAAATTTAGTGAAGAACGTTCAATTTTACTACTTACATGTACATGTATCTGCAATATCTCCATTTGATCAAGAATTTCTGGTTAAACGTTCCTGTTTTTCTTGCGATAAGGTAGCTTAAGCAAGTTTTGCATTGTGGGTTCAAAAAAATTATTCAGATATAATGAACGAACAACATAATAAGCGAGAGAGAAAGAGAGAGGTTAAATGACATACAAACTAAAAGAAATAAGAAAAAATACTTAAATCTAAGAAAAAGCGTAGATTAATTTTATGCATCAATATTTACTTTCTCTTTTATGCATGATTTTGTAAAAACCAATGGTGCATTATTACCTTTTAAGGACCTTTTTAATGACTTCAATCTTTCTTCAGGTATCTCCCTAATGAGAACATTGTGCAGGTTATTAAATCTTATTGTAGAGCCTTTCTTCTTGTAGATATCATTCAGTCTATTTTCTATAAATGAAAACAATTTTCAAAGAAATTAATAATTCCAATAAATTGCTTTAATTATCATTTAACCTAACCCTAACCCTATAAATAAAAAAGAAAGGAAGGATGAAGTGTTCTGAAGTAAGCGCTTTTGACCAAACCTGTTTTCTTTAAACTTTAATTAATTTAGATTTTCTCCTTTTTCTATGATACAGAATCATGTAGAGTTCAAAAGAAAAAAATCCGACACAAGTACGGAATTTGATAAGACCACGGGATTTAATCATGTTTTTTCTGAATTCTTTGAACCCCTACTTTTTATTTTTGAAAGAAATGAAGTCAGCGTTTACGTGAATGTTGCAGGTTATCCGAGATCGAGAAATGTTGTTTGAAAGATAAAAGCCGATTCGTAAGCCGAGGCTGTTATATTTTAAACAACATTTCGAGATCTAGGAAGATCATTCACGTACAAGGACTTTATTTCCTTTCTACAAAGATCTATAAAATACGGCTGATCGTGTAACAAGTACTTTATTCTACATTCAAATATGCATTTGAACTGTACAAATTTGATAGGTGTTTCGGAGCTGATAGTTTGTTGATGACGTCCGTGAATAGTTAGAGAATAATGTCCGCGGCATTTCTTTGTTCTTTGCAGCAATCGTGGTAGAATTGCTTATACTGTATACAGGGTTATTTTTAGCCCCGTGTTACTTTCGCCCTTCTGCACTGCAAATAATTTTCCGACGTTTTAAATTCTCTGTGACTTGCGTTTCTTAAAAATATAAATGTTAAGTATTAGAAAAAGGATTCAATGAGTGGGCATTGGATTATACTGTGTGAGATGTAAAGGGATAAAAATTTTTTTTAGAAATTCTTGACGCAATGTTTTGACGTTACTTTACCGTTAAGTGTGCTCCGCGGGTACAAAACATATATATTTTTAAAATGGAGCGAATAGTTTTTGTTAAATCTTTTAAATCAACACTTTTCCACCCACGAAATCAAATCCCCACTAATCAAAATTTTTCCTCAAGCCTCAAAAAAGTGTTCCCACGAAAATATTTATTTTACAGTAAAATACTGAATTTTATTGGAGAAAAACATTACTTTATATCGTATGAAATGGATAGCCTAAGTCACAATGACTTGCGTCAAAATAGTATCGGTTCACTTGTCGTTACTTTTAAATTTTGTGCAATTTGAAGTTATAATCATAAAGACAGAAAACTTTTTTCTTATACTAAATAAGTAAAAAAATAATTATAAGAAATTTAAAAGTTACCCAACGTATACGGTAAAAAGTGGGTTGGAACAATGAACACTTGTTTATACCGTATAAGTAGAAATTTTAGCGAGGATTTAATTTTGGCATTAATAGCGAGGGTGCTGCGATCGTTAAAATTGAATATCGCTAAAATTACTTGTGTATTATTTGTAATAGCTTCTGTAGTGAGCATTTGATGAAATCGCTTAAATTACTTCTCGCTAAAAATAAACTACCAATTTTTATAGTGAAATCGCTAAATTTGCTTCTCGCTAAAATTTCCACTTATACGGTATATCAATTTATAAGTCCAATGATCTTGATAACGATATGTCTTTATCTTCTACATATATCATTTTTACACAAAACTGAATTTGATTTGAATATTTTTCATACCTTTATTATCACTCATATTACAGCTTGGAGAAGAACTGTCATCTGAAAGATTTCAAAATGCATTATTTTCAATTACAACAGGAAAGAACAAGTGCATTAATAAGCTAGATTATGAGACTTTTTAGTGGTTTTGGAATCTTAGTTTCACTTTGAAATATTTTTTGTTTAAAATGGTGTTTCTACTCATAACATTATCAGAAAATCTTGGTGATAGCTTAAACTCTACATTATAGGGTATAAAATTTGAAAATGAATTCTTTCAAAATCGGTTGAGAGGTTTAAGAGATACGATTAAAGACTTTGATAAAAGCTGCCCTTTTAATGATGTTTTCATTAATCGATGAGATATGTTGATAAGGAAATGTTGATAAGTAAGGAAAATATGCTGAGTAGTGTTCATTTCTATTTTAATTTGTTTGTGATTAAAAGACACAAAATATACGTAAAAATATGTAAAATATACGTTCATAAAACGATGTAGATAATATTTGTGTTCTGTAAACAACCTGGGATATATTTTGTACTGGCTCCAATGAAATTTCGTGCCTCTATTTTGAAACTTTTGCAAATCAAGTTCCTTTGTGTGGTAACCAGCAGAGGATGTGGGAGAGAGTTCGAAGTTCCTCTACATTCCTCTTCATTGACATCTATTGGCGTATATTCATCTTTATCTTTGTTTTTCTTACTCCAGTGGACAGAAAAGGCCGCCGGAAATGATTCAATGGATGCTGTAAAATGTAAAGTGTTTGTTTCTGTCCTTTCTTCTCGTTGTATTTGAATCTCAGGGACACCTGTAAGGTATTGAAATAGAAACTATGGATATGTTCATTTGTCAAAACTTGTTTGTAATGTCAAGGGAGTATTCTTTTCAGATTTTATCATTTTTGTTATCACTACATTCTGAATTTGTTCTAAGACATTAAAGCTAAAATCGGAAAGTCCAGACAATCCATTTTTTCTCGTGTATATGTATTATGTGATGTAAAAGCGTGTCTGTTTGTGTGTTGATTGCTATGATTGAAATGATTCCAATATAATGTTTCTTCTCCAAGATTTGCAAAAATTCAAAAGTATGGAAACCCACACTTGTAGTATTTTTATTTTATATGGTTTATATACTGTTAACATTTTTCTACTATTACCCCGGTCCTACGCGGGTTTTGGATATAACAAACCTGAAGTATTGTACATTGCTAAATACCGTCTTTTAGACTATAATACCTACAGCTTCCACAAATATTTATTAATATGAAAAATAAAGGATTACTATAAATTATGCTGTACAAATAATGGTTCCAGGATACAATTTTGAAAAATCGATAGGGTGACTTTTCAGTTTACAAAGAAATCAACTGAGTTATCATTGCCGAGTTGAATTTTTATATGAACTAATTTCTGGGGTTATAAATTTCATGGTTGCTTGCAGTTGATATATTTTTATGTCGCTTTAAAGTAACTAAAATATAAATATAATTCATAAATAATGAAAGTAATTATTCAACCAGACGTATTTTTTAAGTAAACCATACAAGGGTCCTCTCAAAAATTCGTTATAAACTGCAACTATGACTAATTTGATTGAATACTTTGCATGCTCTACTTATTAACATTTTCTAAAATAAGAAAAACTTTTGATGAAGAAGTTGATGAAACAAGAATATCAGCTGTCTCATCAAGTTCTTGGTTGATACAATGTCCTTGTCAGCAAATACAATTTAACAATTGAGTCAAATGCCGACGAACGTTTTTCATACTAATTGTTCGTCCATTATCTATATACTAATTTTACGATATATTTTTCTTTTATTTCCCGATCATGACAAGGATACACGGCGGTTGTGACCAGTCGGCAGGGAATGCACACTCCTCCATGACACCTGATCCCACCTCCAATGTTTTGAAGGTCCGTGTTTGCTCTGCTTCCATTTTGTATTGTTTTATGGAATTTTGCTCTTGGATACTGTTTGTTATCTCCATTTGTTTCATTGAATGAAATACTATTAAACTTCGGTAGCTCTAGCGACGATATCTCTAAAAGCATGGATATGTCAAAGTAATTCGGTAGTCCCAACCAGTAAGTATTTTATCCTCAATATCTAGCTAGAATCATCGGATATCTCGAAGTTTTTTTCTCGGACATGTTAAGTTTGAAATAACGAGAGGTTAGCTTACTAAATTATCTCTATGACAGATTGGCTTCTTTCATGACAAAGATTTTTAGCATTTTAAGGATAAAATGATATCAAGATTTTAATGCATGTTTCGGGTATTTTTTGTAAAGGAAAAGATATGGTTTCCATACAAATTCTGCCCTGTGATTTTCTAAAAAATGGAACTGGTGTAAAAGTTGAAAACTCATGCTTTTTAAATAATTGAAATTCAATGCAGAAAAATCATACAAGTCATTTTTCTCACATGTGTTTTTAAATGCTAATTATGACGTCATAAACATGTGCATTTTCCCGTATTTTCTTAAAAAGTTGCAGAAGACACCAATTTTCAATGGAATTTTCTTTCAGATGACATGGTCCACAGGCATCGCCCACAAAGATCTTGAGATATGTGATTTGTTATTGAATTTTGCACAAAATATCAAAAAATTAACGTGGGCGACGGCTGTGGACACTGTTTTCTAAAGGAAAATCACGCTTGAAATGTGCCATTTTGAGGCTTTTTCTGTTGAAAATAGAGAAATGCTTCACATTAATGACGTCATATTTGCAGAATGGTAATCCTTCATGCCATATTCTTTCCTGATTTAACAGAGTCCTTTATTTAACTAATATTTAAGCCAGTTTCAATACTTTTTGATGTCATTACATTTTTAGGGCGCAATAAAGCTGAAACCATACCTTCTTCTTTATTTCTAAATCCGAACGTATATATTCTGAAAGCAAATACTCTGAAGTTGTTAAAAATGACTTTAAAATATTCTCTGCAATGACAACAAAATATGCACAAATCACCGAGTAATTTTTATTTATTCAACAATTTGTCGTATTTTAGTTTTTTTTTTTGTTTAGTAAAATATTTAAGAAGATTAAACTTTGATGTTAAAACATAGCAACATACTACATACCTGAACTGTGTTTATTTTTATTCTTTACAAGATACTATTTTCTTACACATCTAATTGAATAAACTATCTAATTTTGATAAAACATACATATGTTCTCTGCCACAAAAAATCGATAAGTGATTGTACCACGTGGATTTCAAGTAAATATAACTGAAATAATACATCTTGTCTAACTCAAGACTAAAAAAAGTAAATAAGATGAGAAAAAAAGAACAAATCTTTTTTGCAAATGTTTCTTCCTTCTAATGATAAAAAATCTATTTCTATATTCACAGTATCAAAAAATTACATATTTTTGATTACTCCTAACATCTTTTTACCACCAGATGCGTAAAAATGCGAATATACCATATAAGGGGTAAAAAACAATTAAGCTGATTAACATCAATTTTAAAAAGTACTCACTTAGAACAATTACTTTTCCTAAAGTTGATCCCAAAGCATTCGAAGCTCTACACTGGAACGATCCAGCGTCATGTTCATTTACATCGTTTATGACCAGTGTTGCATCTTTAATGGTCCCTCCTATATATTTCCCTCCACTTTGGGCTATGTCTATTATTTTATCATTTTTCATCCATACAATTTCATTTAATGGAGGCGAGTTTTCAGGAGGAAAGACATCACATCTCAAAGAAACTGATTTTTTCGTTCTATTTGTTACAGGACTACAAGAGATAATATTTGGTCGACCTACAATATAACATAAGATTTTTTTAGTCAATCTTTATTAATATTTAATAATACATGAGGTATAAGATAAATCTTTTTATACTCACATCCTGTAACGTCGATAAAAACGGTGTTACTCAAACGCTCTCCGATTTTGTTTCTTGTCAAAAGTCTATAAAACAGCCTGTCCTCAAAGTCGGCTTCTCTTAAAACAAGAATCGGGTTCCTCGGATCTAGTTTGGTTCCATAATATTTTGGGCTGCTCACATCTATATCATTAAATGTACTAAGTAAATCTGAACTCTTTTGCCAAACCACTCTTTCACAAGGTGGGCAGGATATTAACTTTGAGTCAATCCGTGTTTCATTTCCATAGACGACGAAGTTTTCAGTTGATATTGTTGCATTTGGAAAATCTGCAATTATAATTATAAAAGAGATAAAAAAAATTAAAAAGGCAAAAGATGCAATATTATATCGATTATATATAGTATAATGTTAACCCAACAATTAAAACGTTTTTAACCAGAAACGAGAAAAAAACATGGACAATTCTATTAAATCTATCTTGATTTTCTTGATCCATCCATCAATCCATTACCTAGCAAAAGAGACTCTGCAATATTTCCGACAGCATTGCCCACAATACAGGTATATGTACCACGATCTTCACACGTCGGGGATGTGATGCTGAAGTATGTGTCCAATAAACCTCCACCAACATATTTTATCTGGTCTATGTTCAGAGCATCTCCATTCCTTGTCCATGCAATGTGATCTACTTCTGGAGAATCTTGTGAAACCTTATACTTGTAATTTAATGTTATCCCGACTGTTCCCGTATTAACATTAAGTTTCTCTAAAGTTGGTTTCTCTGTGGATCGATTGAAATTTAAATACAATTCATAGCTAAGTTTTTGTTTATTTTCATTGGAAATGATTAAAAAATTCGTGGAATGACTGATTTTTCTTTAAATTCTTTAAATGTACTAAGAAACATTGTCCGTTCATAAAGTGTCATCATTTTTTTTTATGCTTAGAAGATACATGTATGTACTATCATGTTACATGTAAAACGCATTGATAATTAGATATAATTCATTTTTGCAGTAAACTTAGGTAGGATTGTACCATGTATCTAGTTGCAAATATATTTTTTTCGTTTTTTGTATGGAAAGAGAGAAACAACATTTCTTCATATAAAACTCAAATATTCATATGATAGAGAATTATCAATGCACTGCTTTTGTTCAGAGTATTTGTACATATATTTTATCAAATTTGAAAAAAAAAATATTGTTCATATTTTTGTTGATTAAATGAATAAATCAATCAAGTTAAGTACATTTTCATCAATACCTTTATGAAGAATGTCTGTAAAAAAGAAAATTTCAAGTGTTTTTTTTTTTATTATTTAAGGAATGAATTTAATAGCTGCCAATTTTATATGGTATGAACTGGTTTATAAAGCGTAAACTGCCCCAACCCAGTTCATACCGTATTAAATTCATTGCTTATAATTTTATTTCATTCATCTGATGTAAGGAAATAAGATGAAAATTCTGACAAAATGACTTCAAATTGTACGGAATTTGAATGTAACGTCAGGCGGATTGATACGTTTTTGACGTAAGTCATTGTGACGTAGGCAACCCATTTTATACGATATGAAGTAAATTTTTTATCCAATCAAATACAGCGTTCCAACTAGAATTAAATTATATAAATTAAATCTACATTACCTCCTAGAGGTCTTAGAAAGATAGTATTGCTGGTGATATTGTGAGTTTGCCCGTCCATCACCCATGGAATAACAGCTTGGTATTCGCCTTCGTCTTCCTTTGATACTTTTTGGATTACCAGCTCTCTACTGGTGCTGTCCTTGTATTTCTCTTCACTAGTTACAATCCGCTCTGTGCCATTATGTCTCACTCTCTGCCAGATAATGGTGCAGGTAAGGGACTTTGAAGGATGCTGTACTTTAGCCTCAAGGAGCACCATCTTTCCACAGACTACTTTGTCTTCACCATTTATTGCGATCCTTGGAAATTCTATAAAATTGATCACATAGGAAAAAACATTAAGATAAAAAAAGCATTGTTGAATATAACTGCAATTATTTGTCTATTCACTAACCTTCATTTTCTTGTCGCTTCAAAATGCATAATATTCCTTCCAAGAGGGTTTTGTATTTCTCCATATCACTTAAACCGAAATCAGATCTCTCGATATTTTCTAGCTCTCTCTCATAGTCCGCGCTAATCCCATTTGATCTAACAAATGCCTGTGTTCTGGGAATTATGATTTTTAAGTTATTCCATGCTGTAGTAAACTCTGTATCTGGGACGGCTGTAGAATCCAAATGTGCAAACATGCCATTCCTAAAGAGTCTAAGGCGCTCAATGTCATCGCCAATTTGTATATCTGTACTTGTTGGATCTTTTCCCCAACCCTGTGTTGGTTTTAAGCTGGGGCAAAGATTTCGTATCAATGCATACAATAAGGACACATCAAACTTCTCATAGTCAGGAACAGAAGGCGGGGGAATAAAACAAATCTTCTTCTGGTCTGATCTTATTTGGTATTTTCCGGTTGTCAGTGTCGGACATGAAGAAATTGCTGCATATAATTTCTTGGATTCAATATGAATTTTCAGAATATCTTTTAATATTATCTTTAAAAGGTCTATGCAAACTTGTCCAAGATGGATAAAGTTTTCTTGATCGGTCGACAAAAGTTTTGATGCCATTGCTATAAATCCATCTCTGAGGAATGTTTTCTCTTTCGAATTTATTTGTCTGCAAATAAATAAAAAAATCAACAATATAAATGAATGAAAGTAGTTCTGTTTGGAAAACAAAAAAAAATCATTTAAAGGAAGAACATTAATTATTCAAACAACCTTTAAAACCTGGTTATTCCTTTTATTGGATATGAAAATGAAATGAGAGGCAAATGGCGACAGTCTTGTCAATTCAGAATTTTTTCATATAATTTATTTTCATGCATTAAGTATTTGTAATTGTTCCGGAAGGCAAACTTTTAATCATTTATTAGTAAAAGCTACGTAATTAAAGCTTCATATTCATATTGACTTAGAAAAAATTTGTGATAACTTAAGATTGAAGCAACCATTTTAGTAAAGTAAATGTTCTTTGATTGTAAAAATCAGATATAAAAACTTATGCATACAATGCCATCAATAAGATGACCCTTACAAATAAGGCCTTTCATTAACATGATCTCAAGTTAGAAAAATGAACGCTTCTAAAATATAATAAAAAAAGAAATCTATAAACCAAGTTGCTCATCTGCGCACCAGGGGGTCATGATTCAAACATATTTGAATCTTCACTACCTGATGATGCCTCAATATAAATAAGGACAATCATAGCTTTGTTGTTCATGAGGATGACATTTTTTAAGATTTTCCTATATATTGCTATGTTAAACTTTGATAGGCCATTGTGCCCCCACCCTACCCCCACTGGCCATGTGGTCACAACTTGAATAAACTTTTATCTACACTTCCTGAGGATGCTTCCATATAAATATGAACAATAATCATGGCTTTGCTGTTCTCAAGAAAATTTTTGAAGATGTTTCCCATCTATACCGATCCTACTTTTGCTCTGCCCTACCCATTAACTATGTATTTCTTCCAAGATTTCTCTGGTGGTTTCAAGTAATTTGTATGCTCACTCAGTGCTCAATCAATGATTCTTTTTATACATGTATCCCATGCGGTCTTATTTAAAATAATGAATATTTTTCTCATCTACTGGTACACTTTGCATTCTTTATAGAAAGATATAACATATGAAATATGAATTGGATTTTTGTAAATGAACTATATTTCGAGTCATGTGGCTTACTGAGTGTGCAATATATATTATATCTGTAAGCAGGCCCGGTAAAATCCTTGTTTACCCGTGAGTCATCAAATTTCTAACATAGTCCGTGATCATTTGATTTTTACTGCACTATTAATATTTTTAGTGAGTAAAATTAAATAATTTTGTGTTTAATGACCACATTGTATTTTTTTCCGATGAATTAAGGAGTAATTTTTATACTGTAGTAAAATATTTTATTGTGAGTAGCAGTGACCAGTGTTTTATTTTTACTGAAGTAAAATTAAGTGGAGTAAAATAAATGATTGTGAGTAGAACAGCCAACCATAGGCTGTCACAACTAACACTATCTTTACGAGGCACACTAGTTAAATTCACTAGGTTTTTTTTCCAGTGCAGAGCACCCTATACCAATGATATTAAATAAGTATAAATTTGAACAAATAGTTTAGAAGATTTAAAAAATCAAAATAATCAGTAATAGAGAGAGCCGGGATCATTAACAGTGTAGAATGAATTCCGTACATGAATCATACATTTGATATTGTATTAACAGATAAATAAGAATTTCAGAAAGTGGGAGAATATGTTACACAAATTTAAAACATAATTCAATGATACCAAAAAAAACTTAGGGCTTCACTGACATACAATCATCTTTTTTGAAAAGAAAAAAAAATAGGGAAGAAATATTGTAAAATATCAATATAAATGATAAGTTAGTTAGTTTAGGGGTCCATATACCACGGTTCGATTTTATCAGGATCAGAGTAAACCTGGAACCGCCGAATGTAAACAATCATGCTCGGGCTTATCTATATAGATAAAACTTCTTATTTTCGTTGCTTTATTTAGCGGTTGGGAGTAAGCACGATATTTTTACAAGAAACTTTAAGATAGCTACTATGGTGTGGACTTCCTTCCTTGGACAGGCTGACATAAACCAGAAATTGGTCTTTGAGCAACAAGCCCTGCTACAAATACACAGCATTCAGAAAGATCAATGCACATAATCACCATAAAAACTGAAACTCCAGCACAAAAAAAGATTGATTGATTGATTGTATATTGATTAACGTCCCTCTCCAGAATATTTCACTGATATGGAGACGTCACCATTGCCGGTGAAGGGCTGCAAATTTAGGCCTATGCTCGGGACTCAGGGCCTTTGAGCAGGGAGGGATCTTTATCGTGCCACACCTGCTGTTACACGGGGCCTCGGTTTATACGGCCTCATCCGAAGGACCGCCCCATTTAGTCGTCGTCTTTTACGACAAGCAAGGGGGTACTGAGAACCTATTCTAACCCGAATCCCCACGGGGCCACAAAAAAGAACAAATGCACTTTAGTATAAATAACACCCCTTTTTCTCCCAAAATTCAAATTTCTTAGCTAAAATGTGTGCCTCTTATAATCTATTGTTGTTTAATTTAACAGAATAATGCATAGCCAAGCAAGATAATATGGTGAAATGGAACTTCACGGCTCAATACAAACAAAGAATGACTGCACTTAAGGCCGTTATTTGGAACCTTTTCGGTTACCCATTTTAAGCTTAACATTACAATATATCGCTAAATTAACCTATGATTAATGTGCAAGCATATGTTTTTGATATTTATTTCTAGAATTTTTCGTCATGCATTTTTCTATAATTACATACAATGCTATTGAAAAGAACATGTTTAAGCCATAAATTCCGGAAAATTGAACTGGACCGCTTTCGATTTTAAGGTGGCACTAAAGGGGCGGAGACTTTTAAATCGCATGGAAATGGGTAATAAGCACATGGTTTTCCGTATTTGATTTACATTATATATGAAAAAGGCGGAGAGGAGGGTTTTGTGTTTATTATGTAGACAAAATAAATGATTTATAACCATGCATATAATTTCATCAATTTGTATCCACCTAAGTATGTAAATTAAGTATAGAGCAGAACATTTAGAGAAAAACAAAAAGTCCATAAAAATAAACAAAATTGTGATAAATATGGTTTGTAGTTTGATATGATTTTTATCCAACGAGCCTTGGCGAGAAAACACACAACGAGTTGGATAAAAATCATATCAAACCACAAACCATGGGAGATTCTTTTTATCACATATTTTTGTTCACTATAAATGTGTATTTTGTCGTTATTTCTAATTCAAAGTTCCTTTTCGGTTACCTCGGACCAAATAACGTAATAAATAAAATTACGCTGTATGAAATAGTTCATACAAAAATAAAAGAAAGAAAATATTTCAGTGCTAATTTTTTTAATTACTGAATGAAAACTTGTTAAAATACATCAAATAAAGTAAAATTTGACAAATTAAGTCATTTTCTCCATCATACACATGTATTTGTTTATTTACATTATGTCACGCGGCGTAGGAATACATAGTGTTGATACGAAAACAATATCACATGAGCTATATCAACAGGATAAAGGGGAAAGTATGTGATAAATATATATCTGCATTTTGTACGCTTAAATTTGTAGTGTCTTTTTAAAGAATTATTGGTAGATGAAAATGACACTGAAATACATTTTTATTTTCTGAACATAATGGACTGTCTTGGTGTAAATGAAAAATAAATTGCAACTTGTCTATAGAATAATCTGAATTCTACCACGGTTATTGAAAACTTCAAAGGAAGCCGCCAGACATTTTTCTCCAATAAATCACGAACGTCATCAAAAAATTATAGATCAGAAACACGTATCAAATTTGAACAATTTAAATGCATGTTTGGCTGTAGAATGAAATACTTGTTTAGACCGCATCGATGTGTCGTCTTTTGCAGTATAAACACTGTAAATTGCATCAAGTTGCTGATGAATGTCTGTTTTTATAGCTAAGCGGGGCTTTTCCACAGACCTCCCTACACATTGAACAACGTGATTTAAGCAGTAAAACAAGAACATGATTCTGTTTTTGTATATTCAGTTTAGCTGATCAATACATATTACGAACAAATTTGTAATTAAACAAGACTATTTTTAATGCAACGAAAGCTCAAATCATCTACATTCCATATATAGGTAAGTCAACAAAATTTCTCTCTGGTGTTAAATAGAAGAGCATAAACGAGACATCGTGACCTAATTCGTTTCTCTATAGAGGAAACAATCCGCCGCATTTATCGCCCTTGGTAGAATAGAAATAAAGTCCTTGTTGTCGTGAATGATGCAGAATAACCTCCTCGGTCTCGAAATGTTGTTTGAAATATAAAAGCCTCGGCTAACGCCTCGGCTTTTATATTTCACGAAAACGCGGACTTTATTTTTTAAATAACTACACACAATAAATCCATAAATGACATGTCATTTGATTACTGGCAGAGATAATTTTCAAAAGAGTTTTGATCTTTATTCGGAGTAAAAAGGACAATGTATTAAAGGAAATGAATTTCGGCTTCTACATTATCAAGCACAGCATGATTTTCTCTAACGTTCTTTTAAAATTGCAATACTTAAAATCTCACTGCTCATGTAGTATTTTCTGTCAAGCAGCGAATTAACTAAATCTTAAAATAATTATATGTGTTCGAACCTACAGTGTATTTAAAAAAAAAATGACATTTTCACTTTATCTTAATCATCTTGAAAAATGATAGTGGACTAATTTAATTAGTAACGGAGAAATAAAATAAAAAGTTTAGGGTTTTTTTTTTTTTTTGGTGTGACTGTGGGCTCCTACCCTGACCTAAAACTGGTCGGGCTCCCGTTTTCAAAATTTCTGGATCCGCCACTGCTATATGTACAGCATGTAATCGGCAAAATAATACCCCATTTCTTTTAAATGCTCCGAACAAAAAACACTATAGTGAAAGAAGTCAACGTAAACTTTAAAACGCCAATAAATTGTACGCAATGATCTTCAATGTTTTGAAAATGGAAGTAGATGTAGATATAAAAAGAATTTTCCAACGACTGACAAAATGAATGTCAAGTGAGAAAAGTGATTATAATATCAAACGGGTCACATGGGCTGATACTCGGTGACTTTCTAATTTAGTAGCTAACTCGAGCAAAGTTTGGGTACATTTTTTTTAAAAATTAGATATGAGCCGCAACTTGACCAACATTGTCCTTTGGATATGTATAGGTTTAAAATAAAATACACATTCTGTGCAAATAAGAAAAATGGTCAAATTGCGGCTCGATGTAAACAAAGTCGTTAAAAACCGTTATGCATATGAATAACAATAGAAATGAGACAAAACTTTAAGACCCCCGTCTCAAAATATAGTGTCGCTCGGCATTATTTAATACTTTCATGTAATATAATACATCAAAGCCTGCTCTTAAGACATCGTTTAATACCTATTAAACATAAATTTAATGAATTTTGAAAATTTATTTTGCGCAAAACATCGGGTTCCAACTCTCATAGCTTAAGTGCAGTCATTCTTTTATCTTGAGATGCAGGATATGTCTGCTCCCCTGCCTTCATTCTCTAACGTAAAAGGGAGTCCTAAGGATTTGACTAAAATACCAAAAGTTGAAAGAACGGGGAAATACTAATGACCCGATAACCCCGAATATGGGCCTCTCTAATAATGCGATTTAATTTTCAGCAATTAAATCGAATTATTATCAGAAAAAATCCTTGTTTAGTATAATAATTATAGTTCTATTATTCCAACAACTGTTAATGAAGTGTATATACATTTGACTGTATATTACATGTATTTGTTCAAGTCATGTAATATTACATGTATTTGTACAGGTCATGTATTAATTAATAATTGATAAGTTAATATATATTTTAAATAATATATTTGGAATATTCATTGCAGAATTTAGGACGAAATTAAAAAAAAATAGCTATAAATGTCAGACATGTAGTATCAGGGGGAAGGGTGACCCCTTATTTTCAGAGTTAAATCACGATTTTTTCACACACAAACCAAAAAGATAAAAAAAAACTTTTTTTCTTTTTCTAACAACTTTACGCTGTTATGAGTATAAATAAGCACACATTACTGTCAATGTTAAATTCTTCAAATCAAAATGAGTAATAGTTTGACTCATAATCCTATATAATCGATTTTTTTAAGTTTGGAAGGGTTAATTTCCTCTTTTTCTTTTGCTTTATAAAACTTTTGCAGGTATCAATTCTTGTGGGTTTTTTTTTTACTAAGCTCCCCCTTTAAAAAAAGGAAGGGAAACTCAGTGTATTTCTGTGTGTATTTGCCTTAAATTATTATACGATCGCTTACACTTTTTAAATTATCATATAATAGAAAATCAATAAAGTGGTTAAATACTTTGACGTTTTATTCAACCATGACAATGATAGATTAAAAATTATAATGTGATGAAGAGATTTTTAAAACTCCGACCAAAATACCTTAAGAACAAAAACAAGACCCCTCACTTACCCAAAGTTAAAAAGAATACGAATAATGCAAAATAAAATTCAAGCTAAATGAGGATATTTTTTATACATCGTATATTATTTATCATTTCATATTTCCCGCTATAGCTCATCATGTATTCATTTATATAGTATTTAATTTAAATGGTTTCGTCCATTTTTATGAAATAGAGAAACTGCGCACTCGTTCGAAAGAAAATGTTCCGGACTTTGTATAAGCGGTAGGTATTGAAAATTAGCTTGTATTTCTTCATAGTCAAAGTCATTCATAATGGTTGTACAAAATTTAAATTAGAAATTTTATGCTAGAGACAATGAAAATAAAAACAATACAACATGCTCAAGTATATTCTGCAAAATAAGGACGAAAAAAGAGACCGAACTACTATACTTAAGTGGAAAACTCCTTTATTTATTTTGTATTGTGTTAAAAAATTCCCCATCCACCAACACCCTGTTTGTAATGGATGAATATATAAAATAAATTTTCTGTTTGGTGTCAATTTTCTGCTGCCTGAATTTTTCTATTTTCAGCCTTGGTCATTTCGTAGTTCAACACCTAACTTCATCATGGCGCACTGTATGGCTGTAACCTCCGATGGCTGTTGATGTAACCAACTGTTACCGTACCGGCACCAATGAAGTTACAACTCTCTAGATGCGTTCCAAAATCTGTCGTTGGACTTGAATAGTGATTTATATGTGTACCTTGTACATCTCATAGTTCAACACCTAACTTCGTCATGGCGCACTGCATGGCTGTAACCTCCAATGGCTGTTGATGTAACCAACTGTTACCGTACCCACAAAAAAGTAGTTACAATTCTCTAGATGCGGTCCACAATCTGTCGGTGGACTTGAATAGTGATTTATATGTGTAATGAGTATCTTGCCCCAGTGATCACTATTGTCTTACATGTGACTGCTTTTCGTACGATTCCCGATTCGTATGTATAACAAATGAAATAAGACAATGCAATCTTTAGCTGAACTTAAATAGGGTTATATTTAGTGAGCATCTGTTCCCAGGGCTCGCTACAACTGTACATAATTATTTTCAATGTGAAATTTCAATTTTGTATTCGTGTCAGACTGGATGAAACATTTGCAATGTATTATTTTCCAGTAGGTTGCTTAACAGCTTCATCTGTATATTTGCCTATTTAATATTCATTTCTACATTTGCCTACTTCATGATGATTTTCATTTACATGTATTTGCCATTTGGGTTGTCAAAATCACCCAATGTATTTGCACATTTCATGATGATTTTCATTTACATGTATTTGCCATTTGGGTTGCCAAAATCACCCAATGTATTTGGGTCGGTAACCTTAGTTACGATTGTAACCAGTAACTAAAGGTAATTTCCTGAAAATTGTAGTGCTGCCACGGCCATTATTCGCCATTAAACTTTAAGAAATTTATATATGTGTGGTTTTCTCTAATAAATACCATAAGCTGAATTGGTAAAATGAAATGAATTCAAATTCAATAACCATCTTCTTCGTTGCATTAATACATTCAAAGTTCTTCATAGTTTATATGCACCCTAAAACGTGGCAAGAGTGTAAGATTGCTTTGAATATTAAACTGGTTATTACAGTGCATTTGTTTACTGTTTAGACAGAGTAAATGTGAATAAAACATTACGTCTTTGGTATTTTTTGCTTGTTTGTTTCTTTTTCTCAAGAAATTGATTAGATTTGTATAATTTATATACATCTACTCGTATATGTTTATTCGTGTGCTCTTCGCAATGCCCAGGAAAATAGCGATTACATGAATGAGAATTAAAAACATGTTACGGAAAATCATCTAAGTTGACATTCATCGAAATCTAAAGACAACCTGTTTTGAATTTTAAAAAAGAAGAAGTGAAAGCTGGAAACTGCACCTTTGAAATAGAAGCTACATCTGTCGCTTCCTACAGAAAACACGGTTTTCGCTATGGAATCATGTGACATATTATCTATTCTAAGCAGGTCAACAAAAGGGTAACCCTATGTTAATGTACTCACCAAACAGATTCAAAATCAAGAAATTTTTTTAAGTAGAAAACATAATGCGCAAGGTTGTTCAAGAAAGAAATTTTCACACAATCTGTATAAGCATAATATACACATTATATATATTTTGATTTCGACTTTGAACAAAAACTGCACTCGATGTTTACAAAAGCTGTGAAGGGGTACCTGTCATCTGTTTCTTTTGATATTTATGAAAATCAACAGACGCCACCTTCAAAACGCAGCTTCGCATGTTATCTATTGCAATTATTTGATTACAGCCTCGATAGAGACTTCTGGTTGAAAGTGGAGGGGCCAGCCAGAGAAAATATTTTGTTTACTTATCTAGGAAAATTTGCCCGAAAAGTCTAAAATCCTATTTCGTTGTGGTGGGAGGGAGGTAAACTTTTTCTTAGTGTCGCCTACTTTCAGTACCTTTCATCACTAAAAGTGTGTGTGTGTGGGGGGGGGGGGGGGGGGGTAACAAGGCTTTATATTAAAAATTTATATAGCAAAAAAAAGGTTTGGAAAAAAGTGGGGGGGGGGCAGGCCCACCTGCCCCTCCCCCCCCCTTGCTACGCCCCTGAAATATAAAATCAATGCTTAAAATGATTAACTAAATGATTTAATGATGTATTATACAATGTCTTTTAAAAGCAAAAAAATTGTTTACAGACAGACAGACGGACGGACGACGGACGCATTACTATTGCATAAGCTCTTCTGGTCTCTGACCATGATGCTACGCGCCTGTATCTGGATGCCTTAGGTCTTATAACACAGCTGGCCGTGTTGACAAATTGAATAACGCGCGTGAATGGGTGTGAAAATTTGTCGGCACGGCCAGGTGTTTTATACATTAAGGACCGAAGACATACAAATAATGAATTCAATGCTTATATCAAAATTCTTTAATCATCCCTCTCCATAATAATTTATATGCTTTATAAAATTGAAATTTAGCGCCCATCAAAACTTACGTGCTATATAGACCTAAGCGCTATTTGTGCTTTGAAAGTTAAATAATGCAAATGAAGATGGCGGGGGAAATATGTAGAATTGCTCAAGTCTCTATGCTTTCATTGTTTATTTTCTTAATATTTTTACAAATTCTTTGTTCTTATTTGTATTTCTGTCCTCGGTTCTCTGGCATACTGAAATGTAATCAATCTGACTTTATAATATCAAAAAGTATGAAAGAGAGCACTAAAACATATAGATTTGAACAAGTCTAGGGAAAAAGTGATTGATTTATTTCATTTGTCTGTTATAGCGATTTGAACGCCGTGGATTTCTAACGGATTTCTATACAAAATTACACTGAATGTAAATATAAGTTAATGAACTAAGGAATTTAATTTTTCACATTTCATCGAGACGCACCTCTCAAAGCTAAAGTGCACCCATCCTTTTTCAAAATGGCTGACATAAATATGCATGATTCTAACCCCCAGAGCTTTGTGAGATATACATAATTGATTAATTTGACAATTGTTACTGTTTTAGTTTTCCAATTTTTGATATCATTATTATTAAATTTGCCATATAATCAAAATAAATTTACATTACAAAAATATCGACCATAAATACCTTAATATTTATCATTTCCTGATCTCCAAAACACACAGGTCATCGTAACACGACCCATTAGTGTTCACAAAAGACGTTAGGTTTAAAACGAAACTACCAAGCATCATTGTTCTAAATCCGTATCCGCCAATTCGCCTCGCCTTCAACTTCAAAGTATTGTTTGGTAACCCTCAATTCCATATAAAGTGCGCTAAAACAATATTAAGGAAGAAAAATAAACAAACTACAAAGCAGAAGATTGATGGGTTTTTCCGATAAGACTAAATATAGTTAAGAAAAGGGACGTTATTCCTGATATTTTATTTAGAGGCGTGGATCACAAATTTAAATTACATTTAGACATACTAATTACATCAAAACAGCCTCGAACAGCATTTTCTAATAATTTCAGAAAACCACGTCTAGACAAGTTTTTTTATGCGGGGAAATCAACATTCATCAGCAACAATAAATACTATAAAAATATTTCAAAATAATATAAAACTTTCAACAGGGGTTGGTGCGATCAGTAGCTTAATTTTTTTCTAAAGGTGAATATTGTTAGGAGAGAAAAAGAAAAGTGAATTAATTAAGCTTGAATACCTTGCAGGATATGTGTGTGCTTCTGTTCATTCATAACATACCATATTAATTAAATTATTGTAAAAAAATTGAAAAATCAAAATTATTGCAAGCTCAATATATGAATTATTATGTATGGTTTGAACATATTTTATTGTATAAATACTTTACAAATGGTTTAAACACACAAGTTCTAGCACTTACGATGTTCTCACCATAAAATGTTATTAACTGTCAAGTCTATATATAGGAAGAAAAAGGAATGATAGATATTGATATATAAACATGTTTGATTTAAGATAAAATATATACATTCGTTACACAAGATAAATATAGGATCTCCAATGGTTTGTGGTTTGATATGATTTTTATCCAACGAGTTGTGTGTTTTCTATCCCCGAGCCTTGGCGAAGGGATAGAAAACACACAACGAGTTGGATAAAAATCATATCAAATCACAAACCATGGGAGATTCTTTTTATCACATATTTTTGTTCACTATAAATGCTTATTTTGTCGTTATTTCTAATTCAAAGTTCCTTTTCGGTTACCTCGGACCAAATAACGTAATAAATAAAATTACGCTGTATGAAATAGTTCGTACAAATGTAAAAGAAAGAAAATGTTTCAGCGATTATGTTTTATAATTCATTAATGAAATCTTGTTAAAATACATCAAATAAAGTGAAATTTGACAAATTAAGTCATTCTCTCCATCATACACATGTATTTATTTATTTACATTACGTCACGCGGCGTAGGAATACATAGTGTTGATACGAAAACGATATCACATGAGCTATATCAATGGGATAAAGGGGAAAATATGTGATAAATATATAATTATCTTGAGTGTTAGTGTTTGCCTGTAACTATTGATTAAATCTTCCAGAATATCTTATAATTGTTTGAACTGAATGAAAAATATATTGTTGATTTCTACATTTTTTGACTCAAGTCCCCACTAAAGTGAATTTTTCTTCGTATGAGAGCAAAAAGTAGTTATTAATCCTGATTCTTTTCATGCACACTGTGCAAACCTTTACATTAAATTGAAAATATTGCAAACACTACTTTTTTGTATGAGAAATTTATTTTAAAGAAGGATGATTGATTTATTGTATATTATTTAACGTCCCTCTCGAGAATTTTTCACTCATATGGAGAAGCCACCATTTGCCTGTGGAGGGCTACAAATTTTGTCCTATGCTCGGCACTCAGGGCCTTTGAGCAGTGAGGGATCTTTTTTGTGCCAGCACCTAGTGTGACACGGGCCTCGGTTTATACGGTCTCATCCGAAGGACCGGATTCCACGTCCCGCAGTGGGATTCGAACCTGCGACGTAAGGATTGAAAAAGTTCCAGCTTAAAGGTTTGTTGTTAATTAAGTCAGAGAATATTCAAATTTATTACTCATTAAGATGAATGGGAAGATCTTTGTGTCCACCAAAGAATTTGCTAAATAATCACCCTCAAAGAAACCGATCATACATGGTTTTTTTTTCTATATGTTTGTCAATAGTTAGTTCCTACGTGAGCATGCTCTTGCATATCGAATCAATTGAATTTAGTTAACCACATACATGTATGTAGGTGATAAGTGTATAAAGCTACTTAAGTAAGGGAAATTGACGATTGAAAAATTGGTGTTAACACATCTAAGATCATATCTGTCATAATGTTTTTTGTTAGAATACCTTTTTTATTGTAAAGTATCCAAACATGAAACGACGTGTGGGAATCTGTGATATCTTTTATTGTATACATGGAAATTTCCACCCCCGTTTAATTTTCGCCCCTTTCGCCCTTGTCTGACGGGGTGAATTTAAAACGGGGCGAATTCAAAGTAAATTGTATAATATCTTAAATAAAAATCTTTTTGGGCGAATTTAAAACGGGGCAAACTTGTTTTTAGATGGTGAAAGGGCGAAAATAACACTGGGCGAAAATAACCCCGTATACAGTAGTTCAAGTTCAAAGAGCTGAATCGAGTCGGCAATTGATTGGAATGAAGAACTAACATAAGCTTTGTAGAGCTTTTGACCAACATAAACAAGTATATACTGACAAAACGTCAGAGATACTCAAGCTGTAGAAAGTCAACTAGGAAGCGTCATTTATGTCTTATATGGTATAAGATGAGGCTATTGAGTTCAATCTTCTGTTGAATAAAATACATGTACATGAAACAAATTCATATTTTGAATTTAATTAGAATAAACATAATTAATCGTAATACTTTTGAAGATGATTTTAGGTTACTCACTTTCAGGAATATTTTATAGAGCATAGTGGCCATTTCTTAATTTAATAAAATATTTTTTTATGTTGATATACTTCAAACTTCATGTATATATTATCTGATTATTACGTTTTTTTGTATTTTTGCTTAATGATGTACATCACAGCATTTAATATACATCAATCCAAATAGGTTGTTACAAAACTATAGGTAGAAACGTTTTTCAGTGGAAGGGGGGAGAGGGCTGAGTGCTAAAAAAATCCACATGACTACGGGTTCTTCTAGCTGTGTGGCATGTCTAATATATATCCCGTATGAATCCAAAGAAGTTATATAGGTTCCGTTACCAAAGCTGAAGATAACTAGTACCATTTTTTAAAATAAAAAAAAGTATGAGGAAGAATTTAACATTTATTTTGTGCTATTATCTTACTATCATTCAAAATGCACATGCACATCATTTTCAGATCCGTGAAAAGCAATATCAGTATGGGGGGTGCAACCATACATTTTCCGGCCATGCATAGTAGACTTTGTTTACGATGGGGTAACCTGCGTCACCTTTCAGAATAAACAGTGGACTCTTCCGATGATGCTTTGTCGGCGACTGTAAAAGTTACCTGAGATTCCTACGCAAAGGAAAGAAACTGTTGCGGCTGCGGAGCTTCACTCATTGTTCAATCGCCATTGAATAGAATCCGACATTTAACGCTTAATATCTTTGAAAAATACAGACTTTTTCAAGATAAGCTTCATTTTTGTTTCTAGAAATATTTTAATCTACAAAAATAATATCTTTTTGTGTATTTAAACTGAGTAAATCGATGACCTAGCATCGTTTTAGATAACTCAAGCCCCTCTAGGGCTTGAGTAAAAAATATTGTCAATATCGCTAGTACTTCCAAACTTCCTAAGTCTAGTGTGGTTTTCTTCTTCTTCTCATGTACAATTTTTAAACTAGATTCTGCTTTGTGTGAATACATTAATTATACAAAAAACAACATTTTTTTTTCAAGGAAATGCTACACATGTTAAAAAGATATAAAGTTAATAATCATTAACACAATATATTTCTGTCTGAGGAATTTTATTTATTCTGTAGGAACCACATATTTCCTACCTTGTTAGAAAAGACAGAGATTTACGATTTGAGTTTTCAATAGAAACTCCCTGTTATGCTAGGTGACTTTGTGTGACAACATTCTATGTGTGCATCATGATACTAAGTAGAGTTTGGTCGTCGATGTGTTTCCTTTCGTATTTTAGTACATTGTTAGCCGTGGACACTGAAGAATTTTTTTAATGTTTGAATTCAGAATGACTCTTTATTCGATGATGAATTCTAAGTTTATACACATGAAACTCCTTTATTTGTGAAAGATTCAAAATTATAAACATGTACTCAGCTTTACATACATTTACTGAAAGCTTAGTTTACAACCATTTCAATCAATTAAGTAAAGAAATTTATATAATTGTACGGGAAAATGTTATAAGTGTATACAATTACTTGATTTTATTGATAGATAATACCTTAATGTCTAGTTAAATGTCAGAACAAGACTTTTCTTTTTTTATCAGGTACGAGAGCTGTTCAATAAATAATTTTCTCGGTTCTGGGAAAGCAACAGAAAAAAAACGCTTTTCAAAGGTTAAGCTTAAATGATTTTCTTTTTATTGAAATACATTTCCTTAAAAATTTTATCCCATTTCTGATTGTTTTTAAAACACATTCTTGAGTATTGTCCTTCATATACTGGAATACAGAGACCCCATGATTTCCTCGACTTGTTTCTTCTTTCTCAATGGCGTTCTTTTTTTTTTTTTGCAAACTTGGAAAATGAAACAAGTGAAAGGATAAAAGATCTGGCGAATATTTGTGGTTTGACAAAAACATTAATTTTCTGTTCATCCCCAAAACTACTTTACTCTTCATGGTCTCTGGGTTTGGACGCTGTCATGACGAAATTTAAAGTAGTGGATTCCTGATTCTGGTTCCATCCTCTGATAAACCTTTCAATTTTTTTTCCTGAAAATTGCTCTCTAGACTTCTCCAGATACTGAACTGCCTACCCGAATAATAATTTGAACAACAAGACTAGTAATGTTAAATAAAAAATACATAAAAACCTATTTTTGTGCTGATGAAATTCGTTGCTTTTTTTAATCTTGGCTGTTTTTGTCAAGTGCACCTTACTGTTAAATTGTTTGTAGGGTTTAAAGTAATGAAATCAAGTTTCACTATCTGTTTGAAGTTCAGTCAAACATGGACAACTTCATTTTTTTTATTTTTGAAATAATTGTAGAAATATTCTTAAAGCTGTTGAATTCACTCATTTTTGAAAAATAAAATAGGGTGGCCATTGATTACTTACCTTTTTAACTGTTTAATATTTCTTTAAAACATTGTAAACTACCCCCAAAATGATGCCTTTCAATTTTGCTATGTGTCTTAAGTTCAATCAAACATCATCAGTGATTATTTATTGAATTTTTGAAAACATTACATTGGTGTTGGAAGTATTTGTCGCCAAAGACGGTACCCATCTTTGATGCCAATCATATCATTTTTGTTCATTGAAATCTATACAACAGACATTAGGTGCTGTAAATTTCACATATTTCCGGGAATATTTCTTTGGGGTTCTGAACGAGTTTTACAGCAGCTTTCAGGAAGCATTCAATTTCGCTCTTGTTTACTTATACTTTACCATTCATTTTTAATGTAGTGTCTCGAATAGCCCTTGTTTTCCAGCTTCTCACAATCATAATGTATGACAAAAAGTCCTCATATAAACTGTAATCAATTCATTAAATATTTATTCATGAAAGAAAATCAAGCTTGATGTCATTTGATTTCTATATTGTTTGTCCTAGACCTCATAGACCTCAGGACATTATTGATTGATTGATCGATTGATTGTATATTGTTTAACGTCCCTCTTGAGAATTTTTCACTCATATGGAGACGTCACCGATGCAGGTGAAGTGCTTCAAATTTAGACCTATACTCGGCACTCAGGGTCATTGTGCAGTGAGGGTTCTTTATCGTGCCAACGCCTACAGTGACATGGGACCTACGTTTTTAAGGTCATATCCGAAAGACCCGTGACTTTCACTTCTAGTGCCGAGCGCTTGGCGAAGGATCAATCACTACCTATGTTTACGTCTTACGTATGACGCGGCGCCGCGATCGAGAATCGAACCCGGGCCTTGCGATCACGATGTGAACGCTCTACCACTAGGCTATCGTGACCGGTCATTATTCATTGAACACCCCATACAAGTACACACAAGTTGTTTACTAAATTTTTCTTCGTATGAAAAAAGTCATAAAATCCCTATTCATTTCAAGCAAACTGTGCAAACGTTTATAAGATAAAGTTGAAAAAATTGTAAACACTAGATTTTTGTTTGAGAAATTTATTTTGAAGAAGGATGAATGGAATAGAAAAGCCAATAAGTATTTAAAATAAAGAGAAGCTTTTGATAAAAAACTTAAGTTTGCTTGTGAAGAACGACTCATAAATTAAACTGGGTTTTTTTCCTTTGGGCCGACATTAAAATTTTAATTTCCATATAATCGATCTGTGTTTTCCCTGTATATTGATACTGAGTAGAACTTGGTCGCATTTCCTTCCGTATTTAAGCACATTTACGTTGAATACTAAAGAGTATTTTTTCAAAGATTTTATAACCTTTTGTTCAAATAAAAAATTTTATATGCATCGCTCAATTTGTGAAAAATTCAAAATTCTGAAGAATTATTTTACAAATAATGTATCATTTTTACTGAAAATTGAAAAACATTTTATCTCAGAGCGGAGGATTGTACACGCCTTATATGCCCTCTTTCTTTCCCAGAAATATGTTTCCCATTATATTTTCGAATGAAATGCTAAATCACATGAAATTACAGAAAATATTACTTTCCATCCGTGCCTAAGCACCTTCAAGAAAATATGAAATTTTACTTCTATTTTATAATTTGTCTAGATTTACAATGTAAATTTTGCATAGAATATATAGGAAAAATCTTTTTAAAAAATAATCTTTTCGAAAATAGCAAAGTCATGATTGATCATATTTAAATGGAAGTAGTTTAGAAATTATGAAGGGCGTAGGGGGTAGGGCTGTGAAAATCCTTTTCTATAGAATGGAAACGACATAGTTTAGTTATATTGATATGGAAGCATCACTAGATTGTGTGGATTCATATCTGTTCACATAAGGTTTCCAGGGAGAGGGAGAGGCCGCAATGGTGATGATTTATTATTTTTTTTACAAATGTATGTATAGGGAAAATTCTGTTTAAGAATAACGAAGCAAATGTTATTGATATGGTAATATTCTCAAATAATTTAAATTTCAAGCCCTACTTTAAATACGTAACTTATGTAAGCCGTTTTTTTAGCCAATATGCTCAGGTGAGGAATGTAGCCCATGGGCGTCTTGTTGCCAAATAATTTACTTAGGTGAAGGGTGTGGTCTATAGTTTTCTCGTTTAATGAAATCATAGCAAATGAAAGTTAACACCAGATTGGTCACTTGTAAATGCACTGCCAACTTGGCGTAAAACACCATGCATACAATTAATCAACAGTGAAAAGTGTTCAGGAAAATAGTTTCCATTATAAAAAAATAAGACTTTTTAATGAGACAATTCAAGTTAGCCAGTATAGTTTTTTCTCCTTATTTTTTCGTAACTTTAGAAATTCATGAAATTCAAAATATGTACAAATGTAAGTATATTTATTGTATGATCCCTTTGATTTTGAAGTTGAAAGCCTGTCTTCAAGAAGAAACGGAATCAGAGCCTCTCTGTCTTCTGGATAATCCTCAAATTTCTCCCGATAAAATCTAAAAAATAATTTAAATTGAATAAAAAAAAGCAATCACTGATGTGAGTAAGGTGAAATTGATACATTGCTTTTATTGCTGATGTAAAATGTTATAAGTGAGCGCAATGGCATAAAAAAATTCAAACTTCTATATTCTTTTTGAAATAAAGTGAATCTAAACACAGTGTATTACCTGTGGTGATGGTAAGCCCAAGGGCCGATATTACACAAAGTAAATACAGCAAAGGCCAAAAAGGGGAGGTTACAACACGCCACAGAAAACCAGATCCACTTCACGATTTCTCCCAGAAAGTTGCAACCAGAGACATACTCGAATAGGAATCCTATGGATAAAAATAAAAGTTAGCAACATAGATGCGTGATCGAATAAAAATCATAGCGATGAAAATAAACGTTTACACCAGAGACGTACTTGAATAGAAATCCTAGTGACAACAAGCAAATTCAAAAAATTGTGGTTCCTGCTTTCTGTGTCTTTGTGGGTGAGATGTCAAATATGAACACCTTATCATATGTCATTAAGAAATCATCACCAACGTTCAATTTAAAAAAAATCGATCGTGAAGACTAAGGTCAAGGGTTCAGAAATCATAGCAAGCTCAGAAAAATCTTGTCATAGGCAATGCACATGTCTAATATGAAAGCCCTATCTCTTCTCAATCAAAAATTTAAAGGAACAAGATGCGTTTGTGAAAAACTGATGACCCCGTATTGCAACAAAGCCAAGGTTAAAATTTTCCTTAAATGTAAATTAAATATTTTGGTACGCAAATTTTAAAAAGGCCAAAGTGAAGGTTAAAAGCTCAAAATTCTTGGTTTCCAATAAAAGGTCTCCTTACAAGGATTACTTATGTGAAGTATGAAAGCCCTAACCCTTACCATTCAAAAGGTATGACAAAGGTTAACGTTTTCAAAAAGTAGGTCAAACTACAAGGTCAAATGTCAAATTAAAGTTAATATCCAATGAAAGTATTGTCACAAGGAATAAATATGTGAGGAATGAAAGCTCTAACCCATCACAAGTTATGATCAAGTGGTTTTTAGAGTAGGTCACACTCAAAGGCCAAGGTCTGAAGGTCAAATATTTTGTTATTAAATGAAAGTTCTTCTCACAAGGAAGGATATGGAAATAACGAACAGTATTCAATCTCAACGTCCATTAAACAATATAAAAAATAAGAGCAGAGCAAACACGGACCTCCGAAACATCAGAGGTGGGATTAGGTGCCATGGAGGAGTGAGCATCCCCTGCCGACCGGTCACACCCGCCGTGTGCTCGTTGTCATAATCAGGAAATAACGGAAAAAATCCGTCGTCAATTCAGTGTATAAATAATGGACTAACAATTTGTATGAAAAACGTCAGTCAGCATATCATTCAATGATAAATTGTATTTGCTGACAAGGTCATTGTATCGACCATAGAATTTACGAAATGATGACTTTAAACGAGACTGTTGATATTCTTGTTTCATCAACTTGCTTGTCAATAATTTACCTCGTTTAAGAAATTGTTCATACGTAGAGCATGCTCTTGCGTATCGAATCAACTGAGATATATATACTCCGTATGCAGGTGATGAAGGTATATTGCTGCATAAGTAAGGGAAGTTGACGATAGAAAAGTTAAAGTCATCACGTTTATCATATAGCTTGGTTGTTAGATTACCATTAGTGTCTTTTTCAAGTAAAATATCCAAGTATGAAGCAGAAGTGTCGGACTCTGTGGTATCTTTAATCTCAAGTTCACCAGGATATATCGTGTCGACGTAGGAATGGAAATTATCATTATTAATTGACAAGGATTACATATTCACGTGAAGTATGAAAGCCTCAGCCCTTACGGTTCTTTAAGTTATGACCAAAGTTGATGTTTTTTTTATAAGCAATCGCCAAGGTCAAGGTCAAAAGGTCAACGCTTTTGATATTCAATGAAAGGTTTTGCCACAAAGAAAATATAAAAATATTCTATTATAAAAGTCCTAGTAGTAATGTCCTAAAGTTTTAGCCCAAGGAAAAATTAAGAATTTTTATGTAAAAGTGGGTCAAACTACAAGGTCAAGGTAAAAAAGTCAAATTTGGTGGTACCCAAAGAAATGTTTTGTCACAGGAAATACACATGTGAAATATGAAAGTCATAGCTTCACTTAATCAATAGTTATGAACGAGGTTAAAGTTTTTGTGACGGACAGACAGACAGCTAAACAGACTGACGGACAGACGAATGAGATTTAATGTCACCTCGATTTTGTGAATCCTATGGATAAAAATAAATGTTAGCACCAGAGGCGTACTCGAATAGGAATCCTAAGGATAAAAATAAAAGTAAGCTTCAGGGACGTACTCGAATAAGAATCGTAAGGATAAAAATATAGTTAAGTTGGAAAACAGTTCCTTTAAAAAGAAAGATACACAGTTTTCTTTGCATCTTCTCCAGACTACATATACATGTACTACAGAACAGTCATAAAGATAGATATAATTATGTCTAACTACCTCTTAGAGTTTGATATGTGCCTTCTTTCTCTCTCCTTAGTGACTTCAGCAGACTGTCAGATCGGTTGTTAATGTACATCCCAGTAAAAAAATATAATAAACCAAAATAAAGATCAAATAAAATAATTTTTTTAAAGTGTTTCTGTGTAGGTTTTTGCGTTTGAAAACTTTAAAAATTGCGAACTACTTCGTTCTCTTTTATGAGTCATTTAAAAAAGTCAACAACATAAAAACAATCGTATGTATTTTTTTTACATACCGAAACGGAACATTGCTTTCTGGAACAAGTGGTGGATCTGAGTATTCGATAGGGGTATTCCGTATGTCTGTAGAGCGCTGTTCACTGAACAGAAGAAATCGGCGACAACAAACGGAAACAAAGGAATATGTTTACCTACCTTTATCCTCAGCAGGAAAATGAAAGTCCTGAAATCAGGTTAAATAATTAAAAAAAAAACATCAAAGATAATGCATGGATCTAGAGGTAGACCTCCCCCACCTCCCCTAGGGATTTTCAGGCATAAACAATTATGTACAGTTGATGTATTGTAGGGAAAATGACTTTGGACACCCAAGAAAACATAGCGCATATGAATTATAGACATGTATATAAATACAAACAAAAATGTAAAAAAAAAAAAAAAAAAATCCCCGATATAGCCCCAGGATTTTCGGGTATCAAAAGTTGTTTGTGTTTGATTTATATATTCTTGCGTCAGGATTTAAAAAAAATGTTTTGTGATATCCTTCCCCCTTTGAAAAAAATATGCAATATAAAAAAAAAAACACTAAAAATTCCTTCGTCAACGCACGATCGATATGTGTATTACAATGTCGTCGTCGTATTAAAATAAGAAATTCAGGAAAATTTCTCTTGAATTGAAATTGTAATTTTGAATTTTTGGAAAGACAAACTGTTTAAAATAGTCTATTATTAGAGAAGGAAAAATCCTTATTTCACCGTACCTAAATATATGTTTGCCATTCACTGTAATAAAGACAACCCCCCTCCCCCGGTACCTTTTCTCCCGAAATAAAATTCTAACTAAGTATCTTCATTATATTTTAATTATAATTTAATATGCATTCTCTGTAAGCACCAAAAAATTTACTATAGGGCTTGGAAACGACATATCTCCGATTTTGATGAAATTTGCACCACAGGTGCACCTCGGTACAAAACCAGCAAATATGGTGTTAGAAGTTTCCCATGTGCACCCGGTTGTTATGGAGACGGATCCATTGAATTTGGCTATTTTTGACCAAACATAAACATGAAAATTGAAGAAATATGAATGCATTTTTGTCTTTATGTAGTGAACTCAAATATAAATATTTGTATCATTAGAAAACATCAACTGTTAAAAAATACAGGGCATATAATCATTTTATCCAGAATTGACCCCACTCTTAGAAAATGGTTCTGCAAAATAGCATAGTTTCTCAAAATGTGAAAAATGGAAAATTTGGCATTTTTGGAGAAATTTAAGGTTAAATAAAAAAAATTGTCTACGGATATTTTTCGAATCATATGCGTGTCGTCAAACTTCAGTATTAGTAGTGTCCCCTTATGAAAAAAATTGGAGTGGAATCTCAATGCTATTTTTAGTAGCATGCATCTTAAAATAGACATATTTCAGAAAAAAAAATGACATTTGGGCAGAGTTTAAGATGCCATTGCTAGGTAATTATGAAATATACTGTAAAAGTCAATATGCTAATGTCAGACTCTGTACACCATTAACTACCATGCATATTATTTTCAGGGATTTCCGTTTTCTATTTATAGCTTCAAATGCCTAAATATAAACATGTCTCATAAAATGATGAAAAATGTCAATTTTCCATCATTTTGAAGCTCCACTGAATCATAGATAATAGAAATATGGATCTCTCCAATATTTCATCAATTTTAACAAGGAATAGTATAATATCTCACAAATTATTGAGGACAGGCTCCCATCTCTATAAATATAACAAATGTCTAAAAAAAAAAAAAAAACACATTTGAAATAAACTGTTTAATGTTGATTTTCCACTAGTTCTCAAATTAGAGATAAGAAATTTACTGACTTACTGTCATTAACTGTAACTGATATTATGTGACTGACAAGAACAAAAGAACATTCAATGGAATGCAGCATGATAAGCAGAGGTTTCTATTTCTATTTATAGAAACACATGTTTGAAAAAAGACGTAATGCAAAATATATTGAAAATGTCGCTTTTTGTACTTTTTTCTAAACTTTTGGATGAATAATTGCTGACTATCTGTTTTTAACTGCTATTGACATTTGGTGACCAACAAGTAAAAGAAAGCCTTATATCAAATACAAAATGAGAAGCAGTGGTTTCTATTTATAGTAACACATGTTTAAAAATAGACATACTGCAAAATATCAGTAGAATGTAGTTTTTTGTACTTTTTTCTCACATTTTGGATGAACAGCTGTAGACTATATGTTTTTAACTGCTATTGGCATATGGTGACCAACAAGTAAAAGAATACATATGCGAAATACAGAATGAGAAGCAGAGGTTTCTATATCTATTTATAGTAACACATGTTTGAAAATTTACATACTGCAAATTTTCGAAGAAATATAGACTTGTGCATTTTATTTAACATCAGGAATGGACAATTTTCAGACAAACGACTGATATTTGTTTATGACGGAAGGTGACTAACGAGTATGAAAAAGCTTTAGCAGAAATATATAAGAATAATGTTTAAGGGTATTTTTCCATTTCTACCTATACTAACATATAGTTATAAATAGACATTCCGCAATTAATCAAGAAAATGTAGAATCATTCTATTTTCTCAAATTAGGGATAGGAAATTGCAGTCAAACTTTCATTAAAATGCATAATAAGGTGGGTTTCCATCTCTATTTATAGAAACACATGTTTTTAAAATAAAGGCTCAAGTGAGCTTTTATGGTCATTTGTGCCTTGTCAGTCGTTGTCTTTCTCATGTAAACTTTTTATATTTCCATCTTCTTATCAAGAACCACTGGTTTGATTTCAATTTAACTTGCTGCAAAGTATCCATGAATGAAGGCATAATAGCTTTTCTATGTTCGATTTTTCATTAAGCTAATAATCCATATTCCTTCCCAATATTAGTTTGTTTAAACGCCTATTAAAAGCAAAGCCATTTCTGTAACTAAAGTTACTCTCCATCCTCTCATAAAGACAAGTTAATTTTTAGTAGTATCATGTTGTAAGTTATCATGTTGTAAATTTTGCATTTACCTCCCCCTAGTAAATTCAAAATTTACAACATGATAGTAGTAGTAATATTTTAAAACGTACCAAAGAATCTTTTTCAAACACTGACACCAATGTATGACAGCTTATTGCCATGGAAATCAAGTCTTTAAAAAGGGAATAAAACTCTAGGGTCATATCAAAATACTGGTGATTTTTTAATTTGTTACATTCGTGTCGAAAGCAAATTAAAAGTAAAGAGGGGGGGCAAACATGAAATCCTATTTCATGGGAGGGGGATCGAACTTCTTTCAATACCATTTTTTTCTTTCAAACACTACCACTTACCCTTATTCGACTACACTGCCAAATGCATGCTGAAAGGGGGGGGGGCTAAATCTACTCCCCAATATATGTGAATTACCTATATGATTTCTATCTTTGAACCCCCCCCCGGTTCCAACACCTACATGTATGTTTATACGTTAAATAAATTTATAAAAACCAAAACAACAAATATTTTTAAATGCCTTGGTTAGAGTCTGGAGAAATATATACATTATGGACGGCAATTTGTAACCGGTTAATCGATTAATCGATCGGAACGATGCTAATCAGTTAGAAAATCCGTAATCGGTTAGTCGGGAAAAAAAAATAAAATACATGTTAATTTAGGCACAGTTTCATAAAAATCCCTTCGTTTTATCTTTCTAGAAAGGAAAGCGCTGCATCGGGGGGGGGGGGGGGGGGGGGGGCTAAATTTACTCCCCAATGTTAATTACCTATTTGATTTCTATCTTTGACCCCCCCCCCCCCCGGTCTAGAGAAATATATACATTAGGGATAGCAATTTGTAACCGGTTAACCGATTAGTCGGTCGGAACGATGCTAATCGGTTAGAAAATTCGTAATCAGTTAGTCGGAAAAAAAAATAAAATACATGTGAATTTATGCACAGTTTCATTAAAATCCCTTTGTTTATTTCTCTAGAAAGGAAAGCGCTGCATAGATTTTTAGTTAGTGTTTCATCTTGTAGTTAAGAATTTTTGGAGGTAATTATTACTCTCCAGATTGAGATCGCAGGGTAATTGGTCAATTCGTAAAGTGTTAATTACTGTTTTTATAACATCATGCCGTTGCCCAGATAGTCCTGTGTTTTTTAGTTATATCAAATACATCACCGTTAAGCACTTCGTATGTCTATATAATACCGTTATCTATTAAATTATACTTTTATAAAGAATGTTTTAAATAAAACTGTAAATAAAGTAAGAGTTAAGACATAGACTAGTTCTGATTATGGTGACAACGCAGAGTTAGCTTCTTTAACATCTGCGTTGGAAAATTATCCCTGTCTGATTAGTGATTAATGTACTCTGGCAAGATTCATGGGTTTTTTGTTTAATTTTTTTCTTGTCAATTGAAATTAAAATAAAAGAATAATACTCCTATGAACATAAAATTCTCCGATCAGAATAAAAAACAAAATTTAACTTATAACGTGTTTTTAGCCTTTTTGTGTACTGTTTTACTATATGAAAAGAAAATGTCAAAATGTATACATGTACATGTATTTTGATACGACTGACCGGTTAATCGGTCGGAACGTTTTGCGGTTAACCGATTAGCAATTCTGCAATCGATTGCCATCCCTGATATACATGCATGTATAGAGAGAGAGAAATCGAAAGAAAGCCAACTCCAAAAATTTGGGCAAATTTCGGATTATTTTGGAACAAATTTGGTAAGGCATGCATGGATCAAAGAGGATCTGGATCCCTGGAATATTCAACTTTCTTATACCCCCCTTTCAATCAGCTTGTCCGTCTGTCTAGCTGTCCATCTTTCTGCGCAAAAGTGTCCGGACCATATGTTCCTTAATGAGGAACATTAGAATCTAATACTCCACATTAAGATTGCCCATGGCCTAAGATGTGTCATGACCTTGGCTAAAGGTCATTTGGGGAACTTTATGGTCACTGGAAGAAAAATTTCATAATTCATGTTAGGTCCAAATCTTTCTTATGGATAAACTTGGTAGGTTCTCATTTCAAACAAAGATTGCCCATGACCTAAGAGTGTGTCATGTCCTTGGGCCAAGGACATTTGGGGAAGTTCAAGGTCACTGAAAAAAAAAATAATTTGTGTCCGGTGCACATCTTTCTTACGAATAAACTTGGCATGTTTTTATTTCACACAAAGATTTACCATGA